AAAACAATTCAGCGACTGAACTATTTCATATCAACAAAATAATCAAATACTAACTTTCACAATTACATATTACTGACACGGGGCCTCTGGAAAGAGAAAGCGTTTTCTCTCTTCGTTTTACTTATTTGCATAATTGGAAACCAAGATTTTAGAGAGTTTACTTTCTTAATTGTGGGTTGGATGGGTGAGGAAAAGGGCCGAGAAGCTGGTCCCCGTGGGGCGAGGGCGAGGGCGAGGGCTGCGAGCTGGAAGGCGCCGGCGTCTAGCTCCAAGTTCTCAGTGACTGGAGGGGCCAGGCGAACGCAGCTGGGGAAATCTGGGGATACGGCCGGGCAGCGGGCTGGGGACTGTGCTCCACGTGCCCCCCGGTGTTGGCACAAGAGCTCAAGAACGTGGAGAAGCATGGATACTTGCTTTTAAGCATTAGATGCCGCTCTGCTTTGGTTTCCCGCCACGATGCTTCCCTGTAGGGCAGCTCAAGCCCCTTCCCTCCCTCCTCACCCCAGCACCCAACCTCCTGGCCGCTGAGAAAGGAAACCCAGAAGTACTCAAAGATCTGACCGTGGGGTGGGCAAGGACATCCTGTTGAACTGGTGCATCCTTCCGGTTTGGTTCTTGGGAGTGCGGCAGGCGGGGCTGGGCGGGGCCAGACGGCGGGGGTGGAGTGGGGTGGGGTGGGCTCTGGGGCCGCACCCAGCACTACCCCCAGGAGCCAAGGCTGCAGGGGAGGCCTGCCAGGTGTCCTGTGATGCGGAGCCCAGCGTGAGCCTGCTTGGGGAGCAGACCTGGTGGCCAGGCCCCCACCTGGCCCTGCCTTTGCCCACCCCTTCGGTTAGGGAAGGGGACCCCCCAGTCCAGGACCAGGGTGGCTGCCCGCACTGTTTCTTGACTGTGAGCGAACCCTGAGACAGAGAAGGAGGGCAGGGGCCATAGGACCGGGGCTCCCTGTGGCCCTCAGCAGCTCCTGATGCCGTGGGACCCCATCTCCCACATTCCCATCAGTCTAACAGACTAAGCTTCTTCACCTCCAGTCCCAGTTTTACCAAACCCATTGATCCGTGCCTTACAGCCCTGTCTTGGGACAGGGGCATGAGATGGAGGGGCACGGCGCTTGCGCGCAGGAGACACTGCCTACAAAGAGACGTAGAGGGAGGGCACCCACCTCGTCCCTCCCTGGAGGTGGCAGGAGGCCCAGGGCCTTGCTCTCGGCTGTGAGCTGAAGGCGGGCTCACTCCTGTGGCTTCCAGACCCTCAGGCAAGCATGGCTGGCTGACGCGAAATATCCATCCTCCCTTCGTTCTCTGGTATAACAGAACCTGATCTTGGCTGGCAAATTGTTATTTCCTGTCTCCCTGTGGCCTGGTGTGGTCACGTAACCAGGTTCTGGCCAACAAGGGGTGAGTGACGGGGTGTCCTGGAAGGGATGCTTCTTAGAAGGGACCAGCCGTCCTCCCTCTGCTTCTGGTTCCCATTGTTGGGCATAAGGGCCTGGTGACTGGCACCTGTGCAACCCCCTGGGGCCACGAGGTGGTGCAGGAAGGACCACAGAGGAGAAGAGAAAATGAGAACAGGGATCCCTGGTGATCACGGGGGCCATCACCCCTGCCTCTGAACGTCCACGTGAGCGTGAACATCAGTGGGGTCGAAGCCACCAGTCCGCTGTCAGAAGCAGGCTCCTAGGTGCGCTCGGGAGCACGGACCTGGGGTGGGGTGCTCCTGGTCAGCAAGAGCGCAGCCGCGGGATGAGGCTTTAGCGGGAGCCAGGCTCCTGTCTGCTTGTGTGGTGGCGCGTGCTCGGTCATGGGAGGGCGTCCAATGGCACCTGTGACCTGGGGTTGAGAAGGAAACCCTGGGCTTGGAGAACATTTCAGTGGAAACCCTGCTTGGGGACACAGGAAGTGGCTTCCAGAGGGACAGTCACCTGGGAGATGTTCTGCCCCAGTCTATTTTAGGCGTGTATCGACTGGTCTCTCGGTCTGAAACCCTCCAGGCTGTGGTCTCTGCCCTGCACTTTGGAGGCCTGTCCATGTGTCCTGGCTGCAGGCCACCCATGGTTGCTCCCCAAGACTTTCAAATGCATGCGGCAAGCGCCCACAGCGGCCTCAGCAGGTGCCACCCTCCCCACCCCGAGGCCGGCGCACATGGCTGTCGCCCAGGTAGGCAGACGCAGTAACTCTTGGCTGGAACTCCTGGCTCGCTGCAGGCTTGAACGGGGCTCAGGGGTCCTTGGCGAAGGTCTGGCAGAAGGAAGAGAGGCGGGATCCGGGAGCCATGCGAGGAAGCGCTGCGCCAGGCCAGCGATAAGCGTGAGAACGACACGGTTTATGGTTTGGCTTTGAGAATACACGTTCACTTGTCCGAGGGAAAGATTCCTGACATGTTCCCCGTATGCATGGGGGCTGCCATGGAATGTCACACATTTTGCCGTCTTTTAAGATAAGGGATACAGAGAACTTACAAATTAAAGATATCTGTTCCCATATAGTCACAGAATAAGCCACTTCATTAAAAAAAAAGAGAGAGAAAAAGCCTTGCCTGCTTTCCACCCAAGCAGCTCCGGGTCTCCCTGGGGCCGTTTCTGGGTTTTTCTCGCTGGCACAAGGGTCTCGTGCACTGCTGGGCTGCCCCACGGCTGAAGCCTCCTAGACTCCACACAGCAAGCTCCCTCGGTTAAGCTATAGTCATCTGGGGTTTTCTCTTGCTTATGGTTGACCCTATCCTACCCGCGGCAGAGCTGACATTTGCAATGGTTTCATCCCCTCTTGGCAGAAGGCACCAGAGGACAGACGGCCAGCCCACGTGTCCATGACCCAGAGCAGACCCAGGCTCCTGCCAACACGTCCGGAGGCTTGGGCGCCGGCTGGGTGAGGAGTGCTCTGGGGCAGCTGTGGGGACAGGACACTCAGTGTGACTGTCCTCCAGAGCGTTCAGGGGTGGACCGGTCCCCATGAGAGGAGCAGAAGCACAGGGGATCCTGACTGGCCCCCGGGCAGGTGTGTGCGTCACTAGCGTGCCACCCTGTGAGGGGAGAGGACGGGGTCACCATGGGGTTGGCAACCTTGGGGGCAGAGGCCGCTTGTCATTTTATAGAAGAGGAGGCCTGCACAGAGAGGCTCAGCCATAAAAGGGCAGAGAAGCAGCAGCCCCAGGTCTGGCATCAGCCCCCAGACGCACCTGGCCAAGGACCGGGGGCCTTGGGTTCGGCTGCAGAGCTTCCAACAGGCAGCTGGGATGCCTGCAGAGCTCAAACCTGAGTGCTGAGCGTTCTCACAAAACCAAAGGCATGCTCCCCCTGGTCTCCCCAAAGATAATTTTCTGCGGCGCCATACCCGCTTCCTAGCAAAGCTAGAAACATCTCTGAATGTGTTGGCAGCCTGAGAGCAGCCCTGCAAGCATGGGGTGAGGCCTGCTCCCCAAGCGGTGAGCCCCCAGACCTGCACAGCGGGCCGGGCCCAGGCCGCCTGCACCAAACATCAAGGAGCAGACGCGGCCCCACTTTCCGGGCCTGGTTTCCACGGAGACCTCATTACAGGCTCTGAAATCCCTCCCGGTGGAAGGCGTGGCGCCCAGAGAGTGTTTTTACACGGAAATATGAGAACTCTTCTGCCCTGCAGTGTAAAATTGCTTCTATAAACTGGGCTGGAAGCAGACGAGGGGCTGCGGCCAGGCCCCCCAGGGCTCCACCCCACGAGCCTCAAGGGCCCCTGCCTGCCCCCGAGGCATGGGGCTCCCCCAGCGAGGGTCCAGGCCCGGGCCTGGCCATGGGCCTTGTCGCAGCACCCCGGGTCCGTCTGTCCTGCTCTGTGACTCAGAAGCACCCGTCTGCGGTGTCCAGGGCTGCGATCCTAACTGCGGGGACAGGCCCCCTCTTCAAAGGGCCGAAGAGAGCGTGAACGCCCCCACGGCTAACGTGCACGTGAATTTGCCCGATGGGGACCCCTGAGCCCCGTTTACTGAGCTTGCCGTGGTCCCCAGGTATCTGGTGCAGCTGCTTCCTGTGGCGATGGCGGGCACAGGGGACCAGGCGGGATCCCATGGCCATGCTTGGCTGGGCCGCCTCGGGTAATGTAAATGCTCCCTCCAGTAAGATGAAGGCCGCGTGACTGACGGATCAGGCTGTGTGGTAGGAGTCACGGCCCCGGACACAGTGAACTGCAGAGATGAAACTTTGATTTACCTCCTGAGCACTTGCTTTCCAGGAGTCATTCCGGAATAATCCATGGAAAAGCCAGGCCAGGCACTCCACGGCAGCAGGTTTTCAGGCACCAAGAGCCAAGTGCATGTGGAGATGCTGTGTGCTCTGGACAGACGTGGAAGCAGCCGGAAAACCAGGTGGACCCGCATGACCATTAGGGCTGCAGATGGTGGCTGACCTCAGCAGGTGGGGGCCACGAGGGCCGGCTGCTACACTCGGGGGTCCTGTCCAGGCTGACCACAGGCCTCCTGGTGACCGTGGCCTTGGTGGGTTTGCCTCTGGGCCTGGCCCTCAGTCTGACAGATGCAGAAACAACCTTGAGACCATCAGCCCAGGCTGCATTCTCCCACCAGGCTCCTGGAGCACGAACAAACCACCTGACTTTACACTGACGGCGATCACCAGACATGCCCGTGGAGAGTGTGGGACGGTCACTGCAGGGGGGCCCCCGGGACCCCTTGTCCCCCACCGCACTGTGGGCACTGGGTTTGCACCTAAGGGGCCTGGATGCCCAGGACAGGTAGCTCCTAGCCTGCCCTTCAGCCTACAGCCATGGAGACTGGCCTTGCAGAGGAGAGGCCTGCACAGGCTCGGCACCATCTTCCTGGGATGTCCTGTCTCCTCCAGGGTCACCTGGCTTCTCTAGGCTTTATTTTCCTCCTGCCCAGGTTCCGGGGCCCCTGCTGTTGCCCCACACGCCCCTAAGGGCTCATGCCACCTACCATCAACCAGGTGGCTAACTCCACTCACCAGGAAGGCCACTGAGCATGTCCCTCTGGCGCCGAGAGGTGTCTGATGGCAGCGCTGGCTCCAGGACCCCTGTGAGGAGAGGCGGATCTCCGGCACTTTCCAGGGCAGCTCTGGGCTCCAGGCCCCCGGACTTGGGACTCCACAGAGGATAGGCAATGCAGTCAAACCCACTACAAAGGGAATATGGGTGGGACTGGGCTTTGCTGGACGCCAAGCGGAGGGTGACACCTGGCTGTGGGGACTCGGTGGCCTCGGGGCCCTTCTGGGGAGGAGGAGGAGCTGAGGCAACCCTTCTGAGACTAAGAGAGCGGGAAGGAGGGAGGGAAGGAGGGGGAGAGAGTCTTCCTCTGGGACCACATGAACCCTGTTGTGGCCCCAGTCCTCCCACCCCCAGCTCCCTGCCCGGCCCCCACTGCCTGAAGGTGCCTTTGCTTCTTCTCCACTAGACTGAGCATAGCATGTCTGGCGCTCACTGCTGGGTGCCCAGTGCCCTCGGGTCCTGGCTGGTGTGGGAGCGATGTGGAGATGGGTCTGGGTAGAGCAGTTCTGGGCCATCCCTCCTTGTCCCCCGGACACACGGGTGATGCCCAGGACCGCCCATACTCACAATGGGGTCTGGATGGGTGGCTCTTGGTTGTCCTTGTCCATTTGGAAGAAGCTGACCTCTGAGTAGGCCGGGAGCTGCACATACCTGACGCCGGCTGAGATCTTCAAAACCCGGCCATCCTCGCCTTGGAAAGGAGAGAGAAGCAGGCTGTGCCAAGGAATGGCCACCAGAAACCAGGTCTCTCCCTCCCTGGTCCTGGCCTGGGCACCTGTGAGGAGCACGCAGGAGCAATGCTGGCCCAGGCCACAGCTACATTCAACTTGAGCTCCCTGACCCCCTTCCTGGCCTCCCTGCCCCGACTCTTCCACCCCTCGCTGGGGAGCCTGGGCCTCAGGGTTAGGGTTAGGGTTAGGGTTAGGGCCCAACCTAGCTGTGCCCCTGGGAGGGCCTCTCCTTGTTGGCTGTCCTCAGAGCTTCACCTGCTCAGGGGCATGTGGGTACCCTGGCTGGGAGCAAACACACTGGAGTTTTGTCTCCACCATGATCCTGCCTCCAGGGAGACATTGCTGCTTGTTACCCATCTCCCACCTCTGTCCCCCCTTGTCTACACTCCCGAGGCACTCAGCACAGGGCCTGGTCATGTGGACTCTGGGTCCAATGCAGGAGGACAGCCAACAACCACTGAGCAGTATCAGTGAAGGCCTGTCGTCCAGCCCCTGTGGAAGAGGAGACGTGGCAGGGCAGACACTGCAAACACTCTGACTTGGAAGAAAAGGAGTAGAGAGCCATGGCCCACTGGGGTTTGATCGGCTTCTGCTTCTGGTCACCACAGAGTACCTGGAACCAATTCATGCTCCTACTTGAAGCAACCAAAAAAGCAGACAAAATATAATAATAATACAATGGTTTTCAAGATCCTGGACCTCAGGCAAGGACAGAGGTCCCTGAGAGATGGGGGACAAATGGTGTGGACTCCGTAACTGCCCAGGTCACTAGCTTGAGAGAAGGTGGACTGGGTGCAGGGAGAGGGACTGGGCAATGCCAGGAGCCTCCTCAGTGAGGAAACAGGGCCGGGAGGCCGGGAGGCCGGGAGGACAGGCACACAGTAGGAGTCCCGGAGTCCTGAAGGCAGAGGAACAGCGAGGTGCAGGGCCCCTGGGAACACAGCAGAGCACAGATCAGTGCACAAGTGTGAAGAAATGCCCGGAGGCCAGGCTAAGCGCCACACGAGAGGGTGGGAGGGGCCTGGGCTTGCATGGGACTGGGGGTAGTGCTCACTCCCGTTGGCCACACTGGATGCCACGGCACACTGGACAAAGCTCTCAGAAGGTCTTGCTTCAACAATGGGGATAATGGGTCTCAGACGGAGCTCACCTAACACATCATAAAGGCAAAACCTGAAAGGATCGAATTGTCTCTGTGTCAACTGTGCCCCAGAACAAAGTCCAACAAGAGTTATGGGAACACAGAAATACCCAGCCCCCAAATGGTAAAATTCTCAATGTCTGGCACTAATCAAAGATTACCAGGCAAAGAACACAGAAAAGTATGGTCCGTAATGAGAAGCAACCAACTGAAACCAACCCAGAACTGACCCAGATGTGAGAATTAGCAGGAAAGCACACTTTTTCAAAGTTTTTATAACTGTATTCCATGTGTTCAAAACATAAGTAGAGACACAGAAGATATAAAAACAAAGTTGAACTTCTAGAAACAAAAACTATGAGAAAAAATACACTGTATGTGGTCAATGACAGATTAGATATTGCAGAAAAAAAGATTCATGAACTTGAAAACATACCTATAGAAAGTACCCAAAATGAAACACCAAGAGTTTTCCTCTTGGGAAAAAAAAGAAGAAAAATGAAGGTAAAGAGAAAGGGGGGAAGAAGGGGAAAAAGAATCCATGAACAGTGGGGCAACTTCAAGCACCCTAATCCATGGATAATGGGGCCCCTAAAAGAGGGGAGGAAGAAGTTGTGATGGAAAAACTATTTGAAGAAATAAAGGCTGAAAATCCTCCCATTTTAAGATTTATTTATTTATTAGAGGGGGAGAGAGCAGGAGCACGCAAGTCAGGGGCAGGGGGAGGGGCAGAGGGAGAGGGAGAGAATCCCAAGCAGACTCCTTGCTGAATGCAGAGCCCAACACAGGCTCAATCTCACGACCCTGAGATCATGACCTGAGCTGAAATCAAGAGTTGACGCTTAACCAACTAAGCTACCCAGGTACCACCTTCCTTTTTTAAAAGATTTATTTATTTAGAAAAATTCCCAAACTTGATGAAAACTATAAACCCACAGATCCAAGAAGATCAATAGATCCCAAGCACAAGAAACATGAAGAAAACCACACCATGTCACATCAAAAATAAAACTACTCAAACCAGTGATAAATAGAAAATCTTAAAAGCAGCCACAGAAAAAGCATGTTTGGATAAGGATGACACCAGACCTCTCATCGGAAGTAGTGCAGACAAGAAGACAACGGAGCAGCACCACTGTACTGCTGGGAATGAACCAGAATTCTATACTAGGTAAAAAAATATCTATGAAAAATGAAAGCAAAATCAAGATGTTTCCAGATACATGAATACTGAAAGAATTAATCTCCAGCAAGCATGTAGGACAAAAAATGTTAAAGGTTAAGTCCTTCAGGCAGAAGGAAAATGGTATCAGGTGGAAATCTGTATCTACAGGAAGGAATGGGGAGAACTAGAAATGGGAACTATGGGGGTAAGAGATGGGATTTCCTTTTCTACTTGTTAAGTATTCTTTGAAAGATAAATGACTATTTAAACAAAAGTAATAATGTATTATGAAACGTATTCAATATTTGAACGTCAAACGTATAAAAACAATAGCATAAAGGTTGGAATTGTAGAAAAAGTATATACTATTGTAAAGTTCTTATATTATATGTGAAGTAGTGTGGTATCACTCAAAAGCAGACTGCAATAAGTTAAAGATGTATACTGTAAACCTTAAAGCAATCCCTAAAACAAGAAAACAAAGGGCAATAATGAATAAGCCACCAGAGGAGATAGGATGGAATCACAAACAATACTCAATCCACAAAAGGTAGGAATAGAATCTAAAGAGGAAAACACAGCGGTGGCAGATAGAAAACAAACAGTGAAATGGTAAGTTTGAAACTGTTATATCAATAATTATATTAAATGTGAACGGTGTAGGGTGCTTGGGTGGCTCAGTCGGTTAAGCATCTGCCTTCGGCTCAGGTCATGATCTCAGGGTCCTGGGATGGAGCCCTCGTCTGGCTCCCTGCTCAGTGGGGAGTTTGCTTCTTCCTTCCCCACTTCCCCCTCCCCAGCTTGGGTGCTCTCTCGCTCTCTCAAATAAATAAATAAATAAAATTAAAAAAAAAACCCAAATAAATGTGAATAGTGTAAAAACTTCAAAGATAGATGTGGTTAGAGTGGATGAAAAGGCAAGACCCAACTATATGTTGCCTACAAAAAGCACACTTTAAATATAGACTTAAGTAGATGAGAAGGAAAAGTATGGATAAAGATACACAATGCTGATATTAGTTAGGAGAGAGCCGGAGTGACTATGTTAATATTATAGGAAGTAGTTGCCAGAGCAATGACTATGCCGGGGATGAAAAAGAAAATACTGCAATGATAAGGGGTCAACTCATTAAATGACATAAAAATCTGAGATTTCAATATACCACTGTCAGTAACTGATAGAACAAGCAGACAAAAAATCAGCAAGCATATGCTAAACTTGAAGGATAGTATCAATAAAATACACCCGATTGATATTTATAGAATATTCCATCCAACAAAAGCAGAAATCATAATTCTTCTCAAAGTACACACACAACACTTACCAAAATGGAACAAATTCTATGAAAAAAGTTTCAATACATTTAAAGGGACAGTAGATATACAAAGAGTGACTCCAACCACATGGAATTAAGTTAGAAGTTAATTACAGAAAGATCTCTGGAAAATCTCCAAGTATTTGGAAATGAAACAACACACTTCTAAATAACTCATGGGTCATCAAAGGAAATCAAAAGGGAAATTAGAAAGCATTTTGAATTGAATGAAAATGAATGCACAACTTATCAAAATTTCCAGGATAGAGCTAAAACAGTACTAAGGGGGAAATTTATAGCAATAAACTCTTGTATTAGTAAAGAAAGGTCTGAAATAAATGACCTTGGTTTCCATCTTAAAAACGAAAGGAAAAAAAAAAAGAGAGAGAGCAAATTAAACCCAAAGTAAGCAGAAGCAAGGAAATAACATCATAATAGGAATTAATGAAATAGAAAATAGACAACAATAGAGAAATCAATGGAACCAAAAGTTGATTGTTTATCAATGAAACTAATAACTTGTAGCCAGACTAGTCAGGAAAAACAGAAAGAAGACATCAATAATCCATAGTAGGGGGGCCCCGGGTGGCTCAGTCATTAAACATCTGCCTTCGGCTCAGGTCATGGTCCCGGGGTCCTGGGATCGAGCCCCGCATCGGGCTCCCTGCTCAGAGGGAAGGCTGCTTCTCCCTCTCCCACTCCCCCTGCTTGTGTTCACTCTCTTGCTGTGTCTCTCTCTGTCAAATAAATAAATAAAATCTTTACCAAAAAAAAAAAAAAAAAAATCCATGGTAGGAACAAAAGAGGTGGTATCAGTGCATTAAAAGGAGAATGAGGGAATATTATGAACAAACTTATGACAATAAATCTGACAACTTAGATGAAATGAACAAATATTCCTTCAAAGACATAAAACACCAAAGTTTACTCAAGAAAAAATAGATAACCCAAATAACCTTATATCTATTAAAGAAATTGAATTAGTAGTTAGAAGTCTTCCCACAAAGAAATTGCAGGCCTCAATGGCCTTCATATTGAAATCTATGAAATATTTTTTTTTTGAAATCTATGAAATATTTAAGAAAAAATAATACTAATTCAACACAGACTCTTCCAGAAAATTGAAGCATGAGGTCAGCATTACCCTGATAGCAAAACCAGACTAAGACATTATAAAAAAAAAATTCGGGGCACCTGGCTGGCTCAGTCAGTGGAGCATGTGATTCTTAATCTTGGGGTTATAAGTTTGAGCCTCACATTGTGTACAGAGATAACTTAAAAATAAAATCTTTAAAAAAAAAAAAAATTCAAGACCAATATCTTTCATGAAAGGACGTGCAAAAACTTTAAACAAAATTTTAACAAATGGAATGCCCGGATAATTCAATGGGGGAAATAACAGCCTTTCAACAAATGACACTGGGACAAGTGGACATTCACATGCAAAAGAATGTTGTTGGACCCCTGCCTCACACCACACATGAAGATTAACTCCAAATGGATCATAGTTCTCAGTGTAAGAGCTAAACATATAAAATTCTTAGAAGAAAATACAGGAGTAGATTTTCATGACTTTGAGTTAGGCAGTCTTCTTAGATATGAAACCAACAGCACAAGCAACAAAAGAAGAAAGTAGGCAAATTGCACTTCATCAAAATTCAAACCCTTTGGATTTAAAGGACACTACCAAGAAACTGCAAGACAATCCACAAAATGGGAAAAAAATATTTGCAAATCAGATATTTGATAAGGGGACTTATATCCAGAATACATAAAGAGCTCTTAATAACTCACATCAAAAGGCAAGCTACCCATTTTTAAAAATTATTTATTTAAAGGTTTTATTTATTTATTTGACACACACAGAGAGAGAGAGAGACCACAAGCAGTGGGAGGGACAGAGGGAGAGGGAGAAGCAGTCTCTCTGCCAAGCAAGGAGCCCAACTCAGGGCTTGATCCCAGGACCTGGATGATGACCTGAGCCAAAGGCAGATGCTTAACCGACTGAGCCACCCAGGTGCCCCAAGTTACCCCCCTTTTTTTTTTAAATGGGCAAGATCTGAATAGATACTTCTCCAAAGAAGACATACAAGTTGCCAATAAATACATGAAAAGATGCTCAACATCATTACTTGTAAAGGGAAATGCAAATCAGAAGCACAACAAGATACCGTTTCATACCCAGTAGGACGACTAGAACCAAAAAGACTGATGGTAACAAATGCTGGCGAGGATCTCGAGCAATCAGAGACCTTGGTCATTGCCAGTGGGAATGTAAAATATTGCAGACAAATGAAAGAAAACACATCCAGACTGGAAAGTAAGAAGCAAAATTAAGAGTCTCATGCTGTACCGACTGAGCTAGCTGGGCGCTAGTAAGAAGCAAAATTAGATGATTCTCTATAAAGAAAAATTCTAAGAAATCCTCAGGAAAACTAGCAGAGCTAGCAAATGAGTTCAGCAAGGTCAAAGGATAAAAGATCAATATTTTAAAATCAATTGTAGTCTAGTAATTTCTGAAATAAAGGTAAGGAAACAATTCCATCCATAATAGTATAAAAAGAATAAATATTACACATTTATTAGTGAATAAATTATAATTATTATAAACTAAATAATTACTGATAAATTATTTATCATTTATTAATAAGTTTAACAAAAGAAGTGCAAGACTTGCACACTAAATATTACAAAACATTGGTGAGAGAAAGTAAAGATATAAATAAATGGGGAGGTGTCCCATGTTCATGGATGGGAAGATGCAGTGCTGTTAATGGCAGCTCTTCCCAGTCAGAGTCAACGCAATCCCTAACAAAATCCCAGCAGGCTTTTTTTCTTTTTTTTTGGCAGAAATGGACAAGCTGATCCTAAAAAAATTGTATAAAATATAAAGTTCCCAGAATAGCCAAACCAATTTTGAAAAAGAAAGCAAAATTGAAGGAGTCTCTGATTTCCAAACTCAGGGTGAGGCTCCAATAATCAAGGTGTGGTGGTAGTGCAGGGGCAGACACGTGGGTCAATGGAAGAAAATCCAGAGTCTGGACACACACCCTCACTCCTACAGTGAAGTGGTTCTCGGCTGAGGTGCTGAGGCAATTCAGTGGGGAGAGGACAGTCTTTTTGGCACATGGTGCTGAGATGGCTGGACATCCACGTGAGAAAAGACGAATTTAGAACTGCATCTGATCCAGAAAAATTAACTGAAAATGGACTGCAGAAATGCAAGAGCAAAACTTCCAGCAGAAAACAGGAGAATATCTTTGTGTACTTGGATCGGGCTAATCATTCCTACATACATTACCAAAATTACAATCCATAAAAGAAAAAATTGACAAATCTTCATCAAAATTAAGAAAACCTTTGTACTTCAGAAGACAGCATTAAGAAACTGACAAGATGGGGCGCCTGGGTGGCTCAGTCGTTAAGCGTCTGCCTTCGGCTCAGGTCATGATTCCAGGGTCCTGGGATCGAGCCCCGCATCGGGCTCCCTGCTCAGCGGGAAGCCTGCTTCTCCCTCTCCCACTCCCCCTGCTTGTGTTCCTGCTCTCGCTATCTCTGTCTCTGTCAAATAAATAAATAAAATCTTTAAAAAAAAAAAAAAAAGAAAAGAAACTGACAAGATGAGGGGCGCCTAGGTGGCTCAGTCGGTAAGATGTCCGACTCTTGATTTTGGCTAAGGTCATGATCTCAGGGTTGTAGGATGGAGCCCCAACTCAGGCTCTGTGCTCAGCAGGGAGTCTGCTTGGGATTCTCTCTCCCTCTCCCTCTGCCCCTCCCCTGCTCTCTCTCTCTCAAATCAATCAATCTTTAAAAAAAAGTTTAAAGAAAATGACAAGATGAGCTGCAACTGAAACTGTTTGCAAAGATGTATCTGATAAAGGACTTGTATCCAGAATACATAAAGAACTCATATAACTGAAAAACAAGAAGAGTAAACAGCCTAATTTTAAAAAATGGGCAGCATGTTTGGATAACCATTTGTCTAGAGAAGACACACATGTGGCCAGTAAACACATGAAAAGCTGCTCCACACCACCAGTTGTGAGGGAAGCGTGACTCAGAACTTCAATGGGACACCACTTGACCCCCTCAGGATGGCTGCGGATGTGCAGGACACGGGGAAATCGAGCCCCATGCCCCTGGCGGGATTGTAAGATGGTGCAGCCACTTTGGGAAACAGTCTGGCAGTTTCTTTGAAAGTTTACACATAAATCTGCCATGTGATCCAGCAGCTCCCCTCACGGGTGCATAACCGAGACACAGAAAACACAGGCCGCACAAAAACTTGCACCAAACATTCCCAGCTGCCCAAAGTGCAAGCACCTAAATGTCCGCCAACAGACGAGTGGGGAAACCAAGGGCAGACACGGTCACTGAAGCACCAACACGACCTCCTGGGTCACCTCAGCCAAGGACGCTGGTCAGAGACGCAGAGCCAGAGGCTGTGTGTCGTGGGACTCCACTCATACCAAGTGCCCACAGCGGGCACATCGGTGGGAACGGGGCTGCAGGTGGGAAGGAGGGGCCTTTCTGAGGTGAAGGAAATGGTCTGAAACAGAACTGTAGTGCTGGCTGCCCCACTCTAAATTTGCTGAAAATCAAGGAATCACTTAATACATGAGGATTTTGAGCTATATAAAGGACACTGCAGTAAGGTTGTTAAACCAACTGTGACTCTCTTTGATCCATGCTGCTCATCATGGCCCCGTCCTCAAAGCTTCAGAACTCAGGTGAAATAATGGACATCAAGAATCCCAGGCATGCGTTTATTACTGGTGGTCCTGCCCCGGCCACCGCACGGTGACCGCCTGGGGGCCGAAAGGCACACCCAGGGTCCTCTGCCCTGCCACCAGGCCAGAAGGCCCCTCTCCGCACCAGGCACTCTGCTCACAGTGGGAAGCGCTCTGGGAGGCCAGCTGGTCCACCCTCAGCATCGACACCTGGCTCATACGATTCCTCAAAAAGCAGCCAGATGCTATTGGAGATCTGTCCTGATGACCCATGGAGGACACAGGAACTCGCCCCTTGCTAGGCTGAGATGCCCCACAGATGCCAGTGGCCCTGAAAAGTCACCCATCGTCCTGCGAGACATGCAATGGCTGTGGTCACGCGCACACACTCATGATTCACGTGGCTGCCTCCCACCAGTGGGGGGACTCGCACGCCTGCTACAAGGACATCCGGTACCAGAAGCCACATGTGCCATTTCGTCCCTAACCCTAAGAACCTGACACCTGTTTATCTTTCTGAAAATCCAGTCATCACCCTGGAGATGCTTACTCCTGGCCACTTCCCCATTGTCCTGCTGCAGCTGGATGTTCAACGTGAAGGAAGACCCCTGAGCCACATCCATCACCTCCGGACCCAAAATCACGATCCTCTTGGCTTGTGCTGGGAAAGAGCAGAGCGCGGTTCAGCACAGGTCAACGGTGGGCCCAGCGCCTGCTTGAGCCCACGTCCCCACCGGGGCCCTCCCACGGAACAGCTGTGCTTCCCAGGGCACCGCAGGAGAGGGATGCGCAGTTATCACACACAGGGCTGTAAATCCCCTGCTCGAGCCACCTCACCCAGAGACCCCGGCAGTCACTAAAATAAGACTGTGACCCCATCCTGAGGGTCAGCTGTGACTTTTAAGCAACTTCTTGCAGAACTGGTTACATTAAAGAGACTTCAGAGATCCACTGAATGCTGAAGGGCTGTGAGTGAGTGGCTTGTCAGCACTGGGGTTTGCACACGGTGGAATTTCCTGTACATTCTCTGGTTGGTTGGGACTCCGGCCCCGCACTCCTTGCATCTGAGTCAGCAGCTCAATGTGTGCTGGATGAGGCGCTGTGGACACCTGCTGGGGAACTGGCCAGGGCGCATCCACGCACAGGCTGGACCTGCGGGGCATCCTCTGGGGTCTGTGCAGCTGGAGACGGTGTTCTCAGTGTCTGCTTCCCCCTGAATCTCCGACCCCCCGAGAGTGATGACCTCTGGCAGAGCACAAGGTTCAGGGTGTTTAAAAGCAATCACTGGGAAAAGCTTAGGACAGGACTTGAGTCTGATCAAGGACGTGCCAGCTAGGCGGGAGCATACACGGGCATGTGTGCAGGGTGACAGGTGCTTCACGGTGATGGGGGGCCCGGAGAGCCCTGCTCTGTTCTGGGGGGACAACCTGGCACCCAGCAGGGTGAGGCCAGAGCCCGCCTCAGCTGTCCTAGGCTTTTTCCAGCATTTGCTGAGACTCGGTTAGGGGGACGTGAGGACATGGCTTGCCCCCTGCCTGAATCTTTCACACCCAGGGATTCCAACATCCCTAATTTGGGGTGGGCTGGGATCTGGGTCTCTTCCCAAGGTGAAGTTCCTAAGGTGCTCCCGGAGGACCCTGCCTAAGGCTGGCCCGATCCTCCCCAGACCCCGGGACCCTGAGAGCGTGACTGAGCCGAAGGCAGACCAGTCACAAGCCCTTTTGAAACCTGATCGGAATGTGTTTTTCCTAAAGGGGCTGGCGTTTTCGATCTCACCTCACCCCTGACCCCAAACACCTCCAGATTCAGCACCCCCGTGCGAGTGCCCATGGCCACCTGAGAGAGAACTTAGCAGACCCCAATGTGACCCCACAAGAGGACAAGGGGGAGGCAGGGGTGGGAGAGGCACCTACCCACCGGGTGGCCATTGATCCACATCCCGTGGTAGATGGCCCCAGAGCAGTGGGTCATGTTGCCCAGGCCACTGAAGACGTCACTGTGCCACTGCCCCTGTGGAGAGAGCCGTGTGGACGACACGTGAGACAGCAGGGGGAGGCCCGTGGGGTCTCCGCAAGCACCCTGCTCCCCTTCCACAGGCCAAGGACCGAGTCTGCTGGAAAACCACCCCCTCAGGGGCTAAGAATCACGTGGTACCGCCCTGCCTCCGAAGGACTCTGCAATTGAATTGTAAGAAGAGGGTCAGTTTGGGGACAATGGCACATATGTAAATGGCTCAAAAAGGGGCACTTTCAAAACAAAAATCCTTTCAATAAAGATATTACATTTGTGCGGGGTGGAGGGGCCCCCTGACAGCAGCAGGGACCATTGAGGGGACCTTGGAGCCCACGCGGCACACTCCACCCCACTCGGCTGCCCCCAGAAGCAGCCTTGCTTTCTGAACCACACGCACAAAAGAGTGCGAGAATAATGTGGGAGAGCGGCAACAGTGTTTTGTGGAAAACTTCAAGGTCCTAATGGTATTTTATTTGAGTGTGAATTACTGATTCTGGAAGAAAAATCAGCCAGAAGCTTGTTTGGTTCTATGCATTTTTCTGTGGGAGCTAATTGGGCTCCCGCTTCCCAGCCCTGCTCTCCACGCGGGCCACGTGCGGTCGGTGCCCACGGGTGCTGTGGGAGGCAGCGCAGCGGAGGCCGGCGCCGGGCTCTCCCAGGCCCTTGGGAGGCTGTGGGAACGGCCCCTGCAGGCCGCAGCCCTGCAGAGCTCGGACGCCCCGAACCTGGGGGGTGGCTTGGAGAACAGAGTCACCGAGCACCAGAGCTGCGGAGCCAGGTCACGTCGAGGGGTGGAGGGAGACCTCCGTGGCCAGGCACCATCACGGCTGGCCTCTGGGCAGCATCAGCGGGTGCCTCGGCCCTGCAACCGGAAAGGAGTCACTGCACATGCATGTCCGTGCTTGGGGGTGACGCATGCGCCTGTGTGCCCACGTATGTATGTGTGCGCGCGTCTGTGTATCCGTGTGCGTGCGTGTGTGCAGCGGGACAGCGGTGCTTTCACTGGAATGGGCAAAGTGAACTGGGCGGGAGAGAGCAGAGCAGGAGAGTCCTGGGCTGGGCTTCTGCCTGTGGGTCCGGGTGGGGACAGCCCTGGGAGGGTGGCCCCAGAGCCCCACGGGCACGTTAAGCCCCAGCCCCCCATTACTCTGCTTGCTGGGAGGCGGTGGGTGAGGCTTGGAAGTGAAGTCGCTGAAATGGTTTGCTTGCCAGGAAACCTTTCCTTTCACGACACCATCCTCAGACCCAAGAAGTTACCAGTTTCAGCTCAGGCGACAGGACTCACAGCCAAACAAACGCAAACCCCATAGGAGCCGAACCAAACCCACTGTCCCCAACACCCACCCCACCCTCTACTGAGAAACCACTGGGCTCGGTCCCCAGGCCTGGCATCAAGAGGTGGTACAGCGGGATGTGGTACAGGGGGCCTTGGCCACAGGGGAGGGCTGTGCCTTGAAGAGAACAAAGCCTCTCACTTTTCCCCAGCCCCCCTCCGCCCTCCCAGTGGCAAGAGCAGCGATCTCTGCGCCCACCACGTGCCCTCACATTCCGGTCTTCATTCCTGTCCCTGCGCAGGTGTGCTGGGTTCTCCCCATCCTGCGGGGATGGGCGTGGGGCCTGTGGAGTCTGGCCACGTGCTCATGTGCTCTTCCAGGTGGGAGGCTGGGATTCAAGATGCTGGAAATTGGCTCCGAGTTCAGTCTGCACGGGGCACTGACGCAGCCCCATGCCTGCACTGGCGGCGCCCCACACCTCCCTTGCTCGGCTCTCCAAGACGTGGCTCCAGATGCTCCCACCAGGTGGAGCAAAACCCTGCGGCATTTCCTAGCGGGGCCATCCCCTCCCCATCCTCGGGGGCCTCTGAGACTCCTGGAGCCCGGAGTCACAGCTCCCACGGATGGATGGATGGACGGACGCTAGTCATAAACACTCCCTGGCTCCCTCAGGACCGCATGGGGGCTCAGGTCAGCTCAGGCTGAGAGGCTATCCAAACCATGAGATGGCTGCTGGGCCCATTTCCCACGTTGTAGCCATTGCTGCTGTGAGAACGGCCACCTCTCGTCTCCGCTCTCCCTCCGTAGCCCAGGCCTCTGCAAAGTGCCGGTGCTGCTCTCAGGAGGAAGGCACAGCCTTGGGTTGGCTGGAGAAGGAGCCGACTGGCGGGTCATCCCACACCCACAGCTGTCGAGGATGGCCTGTGGGACCATGGCACCCCTGCACCCACTCCGGGGGCGCGCATTGCGCTCACCACCCACTGTGTCTTCCCTGATCATTCACAACGGGTGACCTGAACTCGCTGCTGGAACCCCTGGGGGAGCTAGGTATTCACAGCGTTAATGCAGGACTTCCCCAGGACAAAGGCGCCCCAGTGTACAATGTAACTCACCCAGCAGCGCGGAATCTTTTCTAATTAATGTTATAAATCATACCTCTGAAAATACTGCCCTTTCTCAGCTGACTCGCACCCAAAGCATGAACCAATACTTACAAAAGCATTTCACAGAGGAGGCGGTGGGGTTCTCCACGAGGAGGGGTGGGGGGTATTCCCCAGAGCAGGGGCTCCCTCCACTCTCCCTGGCCCTCCCTGCCCATGTGAGGGCTCATGCACGGTAGGTGCGATGCGGGAAGAGGGGGCAGGCGCCTGTGTCCACACCACAAAGACTGGCAGGATGGGGTTCAGTGTTAGGAAGCAGGCCCAGGGGACTGCGGTGAGGCACGCCTGTCACCCTGCAGTTGCTGGGGCACCCCCAGGACCAAGGGGGATGCTGCAGACAGCCTCCGCGGCCGGGCCCACCTCTGAGCGTCCACAGCTCCCAGGACAGTCGGGCGCTGGGATGAGAGACTCCTTGGGTGCTCTCCCACCACACATGGTGGGAATAAACTGTGAGAAGTATTTGACTCTCTTCTCATTTTAGGGAGCACGTTCTGTTGATTCTATTTTTCTGAGGGAAGAACTACTGTGCTTCTCCAACTGCGTGCCCCCCCCATGTCCCCTGGTGCTCCCTGGAGCACACTGAATGTCCAGCCTAGCCCATCGGTCACGTCCCACCTCTAGCCCTCCCTGGGCACCAGAGTTTGGCTGGCCACACCAGGAGGGCCCAGGGGCCTGACTTCCCAGTGTCTGCCTCGGGCGGTATTCGGATGGCCTCCCCCATCATTGCCAACCTTGGAGCTGGAGCAGGTGACCACTTTCTTTGAGGTCATGAGCTTGTAGACCAGCGAGGGGTGATCTGGGGTCAGGTCACATATGTGGATATGGCCCCGGGCCACCTGCCTGGGCGGCCCTGCAACTGCCCAGGGGGCCTGGATCTCCAGCTTGTGGGACAGCCTGCTGGGGTGGCAGTGGGCACATAGGCTGGCGTGTCAGGTGCATGGGTGTGTGCCCCGCTCATCCATCTCCCCAACAACAGCAGGGTCATAGGGTGTTGTATTTGGCTTCCATGACGTTGTTTGTAAGTTCCTCAGATTTCAAAGTGTGCACTGTGGCTCTCGATGCCTTTCCGTGTCTGTTTCTGATGCCTGATGACATGTGGACCACGCAGGGAACACGGAGCCTGGCACTGGATCCGTGATGGCTCTGGCAGTCCAGATCCCTCCTCCCGTGAGTGCTCGAACAGACCCAGATGCTCCGACTGTTCTGTGTGCGGTGCAACCCTGCGGTCATGGCCCCACATTCCTGGGCTGTGCAGGGTGGCATGGGGACGTAAAGGCCATTGGCATTCCTGAAGACACACAGGTGAGGACAGTGGAGGCTGGGAGCCGCCAGCAGGTGAAGATGCACATAAGGCCGGCCACCTGCTCTGAGCGGCAAGCAGGTGTACCAACCAGCAGGCCTCCCTCTGGGAAAGCCAACACGAGAAGCACAGCCAATGTGCACAGAGTGGCGCCCAGGGACAGCCCGGAAGCCAGCTGGGGGACCACACAGGTAGGGAACACTGTGCCGTGCAAACACACACCGGGGTTCACCAACAGCTCGGGTCTGCTTCCGTCCGTGGGGGGACACGGCTCGCCTCCACGGCTCAGTACCAGCTCCAGGGCTCCCTCAGGGACCCCGGAATGCTGCCGCTCTTGGAGGGGCTGCCCTGTGCCCGTGGGGGTCACCATGCTGCGGCCACGTTCCCGGGAGGAGCCGGTGAGCCTGCTGCTGCTGGGCACGCCCACCCCCATGTCCCGCGGAGGTGGAGGCAGCATGGAAGGTCCAGCGGGTGCAAGCCGGGAGCCCGGGGGTGACCCGCAGAGAACCATCACGGGGTAGTGGGGGCAGGAGATGCCCTTTCCAAGATGTGCCAGTTACAACCACCGGCCCCAACCCTGACCACGTGGCTCCTGTCACGACAGAAGAACAAGCAGTTCTGGCTCTGGGATATGTTGTTTTTATGTCCTGACAGAAGATGCTAGGACATTATTTTCAGGAGTGGGTTTTTCCTGGGGCTCATTACAAGGGTCTGCACTGGGGGGATACTGGTGACGAGGCAGCGGGGACTGTGAGGCAAAGGCACACCTGCCGCTGGGTGGGAGAGCTGGCCGTGCTGGGGGGTCCCCGTCCCCCTGCTCCATGCGGCCCTGAGCACACCTCTGCAGTTACACACCCCTCCTGGAACTTCTCCTTCTCCAGGTCTGGCAGGTTCTCTGTCAGACTCGGCTGATACAGGACATGGTCAAGGGAGAGCTCGGCCACTATCGTCTAATCTTTGAGAAAATAAAATTACCTTAAAAATAAACAAAAACCAGAAGCTGGTAGGTCTGTGGTGAGGGGGGCCCAGGGCAGCTTTCTGGGCAGCTTGGGGTTGAAGAGGGTGGGGGTCCGAGGGTGCCTGGGGCCTCGCGTGGGGGCCGACACTTCCTGGGAAGAAAGCAGGAGGTGGAGGGATCCTGCCACACCTGCTGGTACGGGACAGTTCACCTGTCCCGGCCGTGTGGCACAGAGCCTGCGCTCCCCGGGTGACAGCAGCCATCAATGCCAGTGGTCCAGCCAAGGGACATGCCGGGTAGGAGGGTGAGGCCGGGCAGAGGAGCCCGGCAGGGACGGAGGGACGCCACATCTCCCTGACGGCGGCAGCGGCCGGCGCTGGGCTGTGGACGGCACCAGAACACGTGGGGACGGCCGTCTTGAGGAGGAGGAAAGGACGAGTGCAGGTGAGGGTGTGGACGGATCGGAACCCTTGCGCAGCTGCTGGGAGAGTGACATGCGGCAGCCGCTGTGGGAGCCGTGTGGGGTTCCCCAGAAGTAAGTGGGAGCCACCACGGGGTCCAGAAGCTCCTCTTCTGGGTGTGCACCCCGAGGACCTGGACGCGGGGGCTGAGAGAGCTGTGCCCCCCCCCCCCACGTTCGCGGCAGCATCGCTCACAGGAGCCAAGCGGTGGAAGCAGCCCAGGGGTCCATCGGGAGATGGACGGACACGCAGAACGGGGGCCCTCCATGCGATGGACTATTATCCAGCCTTAGAAAGGAAGGAGCATGGCCGGAGCTCGAGGACTTCGTGCTCAGTGAAATGAGCCAGTCCCCAAAGGACAGGTCTTGTAGGACTCCCCGTACACACGGTACCTGCGGGAGTTAGATCCGTGGGGACAGAAAGTGGCGGGGTGGGCACCAGGGGCGGGAGGGCTAGTGTTTCCTGGGGGCAGAGCGTCAGTGTGGGAAGATGGAAGGTTCTGGAGACGGACGGCGGGGACGGGAGCCCCACAGTGTGACTGTGCTTCCCGCCCCGAGCCATACGCTTAGCGGTTACAACCACGGATTTTACGTTAGGCGTATTTTACGATATATAAGGACGTGTTTTAAAAGAAGGCCGACTGTTTGCCCAGAGAGAGCCCAGGGAACGGCCGTGCCCTCATGGGAGACGCGCCTTGGGGTAGCGCCCAGCTCCATCCCACGGCGCCCCGTCTCCTGGGTGCCTCTTGAGAACCGGAGGTCGGAGGTCAGGCGTGAGGTGTCCCTGTAACACGGAGAGGCCTGCGCCTTCCCCATCAGCGAGGCCTGGCGACAGAGCGTGGGCCGAGTCTCCCTGGTGGCTCTGGAAGGCGTGCTGGTGGCGGCGAGCACGTGGGCCGTGTCCGAGGTCACCGTGTGGCTGCAGCCAGACCCCACTGCCCTCCTGGGCGCGGCCCTTCTCCACACGCCCCGTCTGCACGGCCATCTGGAAGCTGGTTTAAAAAGTGGCCGGAGGGCAGGGGAATGCCGTGAGGGATCCCCGTGCCCGCCCTCCCTCCAGGACCTGGGTGCCCCTCGGCCGTCCCATCGGCGCCCGGGGGGCGGGTGAGGTGGCTGCTCGCGTCCCTGCCAGCACGTGCGGCTGGGGGCTGCCCACACAGACACCATGAGCACGACCGAGGATGGGGTCCCAGCAGTGCTCAGAGCTGCAGAGAGCAGGCCAGTTGTCCAAGGTCCTTGGGCACGAGGCTCCAGAAGGTTGGGACGGTGCCAAGCAAACGGAAATGCAGGCGGACATGAGTCTGCATCCTGGGGAAGATGCAGCTGGAGGACCAGGCTTCCATGTTCACTCATGTGGGAGGCGCCCCACGTCGAGGACACGCCACCTCCCTTGAGGACGTGTGGGGGTCCTGAGGTCTGCAGGCTGGGACGGCACAGCCCGTGACACTGAGTGGTGACCGTCCAGGAGAAGGTCTCCTCACTTGGTGAGGAAGCAGCCTAGCCATCGGGAGCTGCAGCCGGGGGGGTTCAGTCTGAAATCAGGCTCCAGCGGTCAAGTTGGAGCAAAATGTCTCCCAAGCGGGAGAAGCCCCTGTAAGGCCTGACCCGCCGAACTGCTGGCGGGGCTGGGCTGCCCCCTGGTGGAGCGCTGGGCAGGCGATGGGCGCCCGGGTCAGCCTGGGGTGTGGAGGGCCACTGCCCTAGTCCCGTTCCCTCCTGGCTGAGCCATGACTCGCAGGGGAGGCCTGAGCAGGGGCCCAGAGGGCAGCCACAGCACTGAGGCCCGGCAAGTGGCCGAGGTGCTGAGGGCCAGAAAAGCCTCCAGGAACAGGGCAGTGCCGGGGGCCCCAAAGAAGCGGATGCTCCCTCCGCCAGCCCTGTCCAGCCGTGAGGGGACCCACCTGGGTTGGAGGCCATGCCATCTGCCCCTGAATCTCACTCAGGCTCCAGGCCAGAACTCCCTGCCCCTCCTCTGGACCTGTGGCCTCACCCACGAAGTGGGGAGAAGGGCTGAGGCCAGAGGCTGGTGCTTGTAGCATGAACAATTCTGCTGCCGTGCACTGGGAACCTGCCCGTGTCCACCCCAGGCCTCGAGGTGTGCTTGTGCACGTTTGTCGGGATGACTCCGGGTGTGGTGTGGATGGGCAGGGGCAGAGGGAGACCTGCCCTCTGTGTCTCTCTCCCACTGCAGCTCTGGAGAACCAAGGCCAGGTTGTCGGCAGTGCCTGTGCTGGGCCCTACGGGCAGGTCCTGTAAGGACGGATGGTCCCTCATGGAGAAGCAGCAGGCCAGCAGTGACATAGACGCGCACGGGGCACACTGGCCCTTGCCGCCTGTCCTGAGGCCGGGGTGCGGTCTCACCCAGGCCAAGCTTGTCTGATGAGCAGGCCAGGCCGCTGTGGGGGGCCGCATGGGCCAGGCCAGGACGCCAGCTGCCCCGCTCCGGCGCCCCGCCAGCCATCAGTTACCACCTCTCAGCCCCAAAGCCACTCTTCCTGGCCGGCTCTGTGCTGCTGGAGCTGGACCTCTCACCGTCTCTCCCGGCCGCCTGACGTGTAGCTCGTTGGCAGCAGGCCCTGCGTGAACGGCCGTGTGCAGCTGGGCCTGGGCTCCCGCAGCCCTGGATTCAGTGGGCTCATCGCAGCCACTGTGGTGAAGTCACCGTGGCGAAGTCACCGCACACCACGAGTCTCCCTTCCCAAGGAGCCCGGCTGCGCAGGCGGGCCCCAGGTCCATCTTTTGGGCGTCTGTGGGGCCACTGGTGCGTTTGCTGTTGCCGTTTCTGCTTTTATCCCTTCCAGCACTTCACGGCCCTGCACTGGCTACCCAGCTACCCATTTCCACGGTAACCTGCTGGCCCGGTTCCTGTCTCTCGACGGGATTCTGCTTCGGGCACCGCTGCCGCCCTCCAGTGCTCAGGTCCCAAACCCAGGAGTCAATCCTTGCTTCTCCTCTTGCCTCTGCCTCGACATCCGACCTGCCAGCAAGGCCGGTGTCTTCACCTCCAAACCACCCCAAGGCTGTTTTCTGCGCCCTCCCCTCTCCTGATGGCAGAGTGCCCCCTGAACAAGAACCGGAGGGACTTTTCACAGAGATCAGACCACCACTTCCTTCCAGTGCTTCCGGCGACCCTTACAATCACACTCCAGCCCGCTGAGCCTCAGGGTCTCCGCGGGCCCCTCCCGGACCTCCCGCCCAGCTGTGTCCTTGCTCCTCCTGCGGCCGGCAGCACCCTGCCCTTGCTCTTCGGTGGCCAGGGCGGCTCGTCATCATTTAGGCCTCAGCTCACAGAATGACACAAGAGAGACGACCAGGCTCTTGGCCCCCCAGCTGCCTGCAGGGCCAACGGGGCTACTTGTCACTCTGGCCACCGACTTGGCTCGCCCTTCCTGAGACGCACATCTCTGGGTCCTGCTGCGACTGCTCCCAGCTAGGCACGTGGCCAGTGTCCAGTAAGAAAGATGGATGATGGATTCTGGGGTCCCGATGAGGTCTTCAGATCTGCCTGGTCTCCCTCCTGCTTGCAGCACCTGACCGCCCCCAACCCCAGTCAGACCCAAGGGGTACGGCCTGCAGCAACAAGGCGGGGAGAACGTCCTCTCCCATGGGATTGAGGCGGGCATTTCTCATCAAAAACGCTTCACTGGCCCTGAGGGCGTCCTCAAGGGACTGAGAAATGTCACCCCGTTCCCACAGGTGACACTACAGGTGGCAGGGCATCTCAGGAGCCAGACAGGAAAGGTGTTAGCTGGGGCACTTCCCCTTCCCTCGCTTCCTCATCAGCCAAAGGGGGCAGCCACCCTCCCTGCCCCTTGGGGTGGAGGGGCAGCACTGAGGTGCCCCATGAGGATGCCTGGGCAGCACAGGTGCCCAGTGGGGTCCCCAAGAGCCTGGGGTCCTGCCACGTCTCCAGGTACCTCGTAGGTGGAGCCGTCAGCTCGGCACAGCACACCGTGCCCCTGACGCTGGTCCCGGACCCAGTCGCCTTCGTATTTGTCACCGTTCCTGGGGACACAAACATGGGGCAGCTCTCAGACCGGGGAGAGCCAGGTGGTGGCGCTGACTCAGACCCGCTCCTCCGACCGGGGCTCAGCACGCGCCACCGGGACTGAAGCAAAAATAGTCCCCGAGCAGATGGTGCGAGCTCCTGCCTTGCCAGGGCCTGCTGCGGAGGGGCAGGGGGCCTGGCGCTTGGTGGGGGGGTGATGGCAGCGGCCTGCGGCCCCCAGCTGGGTAAGACTTGGAGAAAAGTCAGTGTGAACCTACATGTGGCCATGGTGGCGCTGTGCACGAGCCACGGACGAAAATGCAGGCTCACCAGGTTCCGTGGCGCCGAGAAAGCCCCTGCCTGCCACCCACCTGCTGCCCAAGCCTCCGGGAGGTGTTCGCTAGGGGGAGTCAAGGCTCTCTCTACTAAACACGCTGGTAAGCTGTGTCGGTAACTAAAGCACTGAATCCCAAGTGTTGCCGATGTGCTGGAGACCAGGGTGCCCCGGGGGCCGGGGGGCCGGGGGAGGGGGGTGGCGCACTCACCGGAAGACCATGTGCCCCCGGCCGTGCCTCTTGTTCTCATGGAACGACCCCCAGTAGGCCTGTCCGTCCCGGTCCACCAGGCGCCCATGTCCTAGGGAGGGAGCCCAGGGCAGTGAGCATCACTTCCTGCCTCCTGTCAGGGGAACCTTGCTTCCACCCCCCAGAGGGCGCTGGTAGATTCAGAAGAAAGCTGGGGTCAGAACGGCTCCAGGAACCGGGCTGCCCTCCCAGGCCGGGGCTGCCCAGGGAAGACACGGCAGCTGTGATTTGGGGTGGCACCAGTGACCACCATGCCAATGACAGTGGTTCTGGGGTCCAGCTCTCAAAGGTGCTGAGTGAGGGCGGGAGGGGTGCCCCTTAAGGTACCTCAGGCCCCAGCATTTGAGGCTGGAGTGCCCTGGTGTCAGCTGGGGCCACCCCACAGCTCTGCCATCATGTCAGTCCATGGGAAACCGCACCTCACAGACAACGGCCGTGCTGGGCCTCCTGTGACCGACTCAAAGGCCCTTGGTCTAAAGGCCAGAGCACAGGGGCGCCTGGGGGGCTCAGTCGGTGGAAGGTCTGACTCTTGGTTTCAGCTCAGGTCATGATCTCAGCATCATGAGACTGAGCCCTGCATCAGGCTCCGTGCTGGGCGGGGAGTCTGTTTGAGATTCTTTCCCTTTCCCTCTCCCTCCGCTCCTCCCCTGCTGGCATGCCCTCTCCAAAATAAATAAATCCTTTAAAAAAACAAAAAAAGGGCGCCTGAGTGGCTCAGTTGGTTAAGCGACTGCCTTTGGCTCAGGTCATGATCCCGGAGTCCAGGGATCAAGTCCCGCATCGGGCTCCCTGCTCAGTGAGGAGCCTGCTTCTCCCTCTGACCCTCCCCCCTCTCATGTACTCTCTCTCTCTCAAGTAAATAAATAAATCTTAAAAAAAAAAAAAAAGGAAGAAAACAAAGGCCAGAGGACACGCTCATGAGAACAGGGCTTCATGGCATGGTTCGGGACAACTCGGAAGTGCACGCGCATCTTCCGATGTAAGCGGACCCTGGAAAGGCACTGTTGGACCTTGTGGACACATGGCTTGCTTTCGGAGGCTGGTCTTCCAGAACAGTGAGCACTTCGGTCTTCGGGCGCCAGGGATGCACACCCCCCGCCCCCGGGCAGAGTCCGCTTCCCCACAAGTGTGGCCTCCTGACTCGCTTTGTTCAGCAGCATGTCCTCAGAGGACCTGCAGCTTCTTGCCCCCCAGGAACCCTGAGGCTCTGGGCCAGGGCCCAGGAACCACCAGCCCTGCCTGAGCTGCTGCAACCACCACTGTGGGGGTGACCCCATGTGAGGCCAAAAGCGTTGCCCAGCCAAGCCAGGGACAGACTGCTGACCCCCAGGATTGTGGGTGAATAATTAAATGGCAGTTTTTTGAGCTGCTAGATTTTAACCACAGCAGTGAACTGATGCAGGACCTACAGTGTCAGCCCCAGCAAGCAGGGTCCCCGGGCCAGGGCCCCCACACAGAGCTGCAGCAGACGTGGTTCTGGGGGCAGAGAGAAGAGCACCTCCAGTATGGCCAGGTGCACGTCAGGGCCCCTGAGTTAGATCTTGGGGAGGGGTGCTGGGGCCCAGGGCTCCCCACAAAGCGCCCTGCCACACTCAGTAAGCTCCTGTGGGTATCAGACCTTCTCTCAGGCCGTGGGAGAACTCCCCTTCATAATGTCCGCCAGCTTTGTACTTCATGACGCCGTGTCCTTGAGGCTCTCCCAAAACAAACTGTCCAGAATAGGTGTTTCCTGGTGCAGATGAGGAGAGGGGCACACCCAGGGTTAGAGCTGTTCCTGAGTTCCCTGTGGGTTGACAGTCACACCCCTCCCGCCCCCGATCAATGGTGGCAGCAAGTATCATTTCAGAACACGTGAAGAGGTCTCCCTTTCTCCCGTTCACCTTGGCTAACGAGAGAAAATAAGAGTAGGTGGGTTTGGTCCTGCCCTCCTGGTTACTGTACAGGCCCCCCCCCATAGCAGGTGGATGCAGATCCCCATCCTATGACGACCCTCTCTGCAGCATCCAGGTGCCCAAGGGCAAAGGCCTCTCTGGGTCGGAATCTGTGGGGGTGGGCCTTCTCTCAGCGGAGAACAGCTACCATGCTTGCCTGGGAAGGTCTGTGAGTGGTTGCCCCTGCCCTCGGCCAGCATGCTGCTAATGCAGGGAATGTGATGGAAACCAGAGACCCACACTTCACAGAGGGAGGTGCCTCCTGCATCCAGAAGCCAGGGACAACTTACACCAGAGATAGTTTATGAAAAAGGAGTCAGCACACCCGCACCTGTCTCCACTGCTAACCTGATGAGGCCCAGAGCCGGCAGCCTTCTCCCGTGATCTCCCCGTCCACAAACTTGCCTTCGTAATAACTCCCATCTTTAAACAGCAGCTTCCCCTGGCCTGGGGAAAGAAATCACGATGTGAAGTCAGACCAAAGTCGGAGAAACCCCTGCTGCCCATGCGTGGCTGGACTCGTTCCTCCGTGGGAAGAGCTGGGCTTTGAAGCTCTCAGGCCTGTGTTCGGCTCTGCCTCTTGTCCCACGCCTGCTCTCCGCAAACTCACCCACCTACATGTTTCTCGATAAAAACGTTCTTGAAACGTGACTAAGGCCTGCTGTCTCGGCTGGGATGACAGCAGAGCTACCCCAACCTCTTCGGAGGAGACACTCTAGTCACCTGGCCCCCATCAGCACCAGGGCCGGAGGAAACGGAGTCTGTGGACACAGGGCAGCACTCAAAAAAACATTTAAAAAGGGGGAACCACTCTGTCCAGGCCAGGCTCTGGCAAGGGTCTCAGACGTGAGCCTCCCTGCCAGGCCCAGAGGAAGAGAAGCAGAGATTTCAGACAAAAGCAAAAAATGTCTGTGTAGCAACAACACAAGGCAAAAGCTTAAAGATACAGAAAAATACTGGCAGCCAGCAGACACAAAAAGAGCTCATATAAGAAAATGCTGAAAGACCAGTTCTCTAGGAGAAAAATAGGCAGAGGATGTGAGCAGGCAGAACCCCCAAACAGACATGACTGTGTGAGCATAAACACGGGAAAGTCTGGGCCCACCCCTGGGGAGGACTCCAGTGACTCACGCTTGGTAGTACTTTCTCTCTTTTAAGGCTGAGACTTTCTACAAAAGTAGGTAACCTCTCCCTTTTAAAAAGTTTTTTTTGTTGTTGTTTAAGTTCAATTTAGGTAACGTACACTGTATTATTAGCTACCAGAGTAGAATTTAATGATTCATTAGTTGCATATAACAGCCAGTGCTCATCACATCACGTGCCCTCCTCAATGCCGGTCACCCAGTTACCCCGTCCCCCCGACCCATCTCCCCTCCAGCAATCCTGTTTGTTTCCTAGAGTTCAGCATCTCTTATGGTTTGCCTCCCTGTTTTCCTGTTATTTTATTTTTCCCTCCCTTCCCCTATGTTCATCTGTTTTGTTTCTTAAATTCCACGTATGAGTGAAATCATACGGTATTTGTTTTTCTCAGACTGAGTTATTCCGCTTAGCATGATACCCTCTAGTTCCATCCACATGGTTGCAAATGGCAAGATTTCATTTTTTGATGGCTGAGTAGTATTCCATTATATATAGACCACGTCTTCTCTGTCCATTCATCTGTGGATGGACATCTGGGCTCTTTCCACAATTTGGCCATTGTGGACACTGCTGCTGTAAGCATTGGGGTGCAGGTGACCCTGCGGATCATTATGTTTGTATCCTTTGGATAAATACAAAGGTGGGTAATCTCTTACTCATCAAAAATAAACCATAAAGGCAATTTTCACTTTGGCAAAGACAGACTAACACCCCAGGGAGGATTTCTAAGTTGGGGCTTCCCCTGCCCAGGATGCCCCTGAGCCTGTGAGAAGGCTGCTAGCTGAGGGGTCTCCCAGGGCCCCCGGGGATGTCTTGTCTGGTGAGCTTTGAAGATCGCTGCAGGGAATGGCCTTTCCTGGGCACTAGTGAGAGGGAGGGTGGGGACCCAGTGCTGGTGGCTCCCAGTGCCACCTGCCGGCCCAGGCTCCCCGAGGAAATGGCTGTCGGTGCAAGGTGGCAGCCGTTGGAACAGGCCACGATTTCTCACCGTGTTTCTTCCCTCCTTTCCATTCTCCTTCATATCGAAAGAAAGAATTCGGGTACACATAGACACCGTAACCTGAATATCGAAAAGAAGAGGGACGGGTGAGCACGTGGTGCCACAGGTGACCCGGCTGACAGCCCACAAACCCTCAGATGGGGTGGATCTCGGGGCCCTGAGGGGGAGGGTGCGGCATGCGTGAGCACAGGTCCCCGAGAGGCCGCGGCTTCTGGCGGGGCGACGGTTGCTGGGTGAAGGGGAGGGAGGCGCTAGCCCTGCCATTTCTCTGCAGGAATTCACCAGCGGCCTCTCGTCCCCTCAGGACAAAATCCACACTCACACCCAGGGGGGCGGCCGGGCTCCCCTCCGCACCAGCCCCGTTTCCACCGGGCGACGTGGGAAGCGTGGGAGTCGCCGGACTCCTGCATCTGCCACAGAGAAGCTCGGGCTCTACCCGAACACGGTTCTTCGGATCTTCGAGCAGCGCCCGCCCAGCCTCCGAACGGCGCCTCCCGGCTCGCTCCCCAGGAGCCGGCGGGCTCCGCCGCCCCGGGCTCGGAATCCCGCCCGCCTGCCCGCCCGCGGGGGCGCCCCCCCTCCCAGGGTCGGGGCGCTGGGGCTTCCCGGGGGCTGCCGGCTGGGCTTGGGGCCGAGAGCGCGCGGCGGCCGCCGGAACCCCGCCCGTCTCCCGCCCCTCCTCCCCCACCGCGGACGGAGATCCGGCCGCGGCCTGCAGCCATTACCGTCCCGCGGCGGCCGCCTCGGTGGGTCCTGGAGCGGCCGGCTGGAGCTCGGGCCCTCTCCGCCTGCGGCTGCCATCTTGCCGCTAGGGGTTTCCTTAGCAACCGCAAAGCTCTCCTCCATTGGCCCGTGGGTCAGTCCCTGGGCGATAGCAATCTCTGGAGTGGATTGTGCCGGCCCGGAGCCCGTAGACGCAACTACACATGCGCAGCACGGCGCGTTTCCGCCGCTGACGTCCCTTCCGCCGAGGGGACTTCCCTGCCAACTGCCTGGGCACCCTGCACCGGAAGCGGAAATGGTTGGAGGCTCTCGGCTCCTCCCCGACGGCCATCTTGGAGGCTCCGGAGGCGGTGCCGCACAGGACAGAGCGGAAGTGCTCAGCTGGCCCTTCCCGGACCGTGCGAAGCGCCGGCGCGGCTGCCTGCCCGCGTCCTCCTTCCCGCGGCCCTCGGAGACCGCGCTCGGCCGCAGGGAGCGGCGAGGTGCCGGCGGGCGGCGGGGGTCCGGGCGGGCGGGGCTAGGCGCGGGGCGGGCGGGGCGGCGGGCTAGGCCGGGTGGGGGCTGGGGTCGCGGGTCCCGGGCCCCCCGGGGGCGCGCAGGGACCGCCCCCGCCCGCAGTGGCGGGCGCGGCCCGGGAGGGGTTGGCTGCCCACCCCGGCTCGTGCGCTGACGTTCGCTCTTCCTTGTCGGGTCCTCACTCGGTGCTGTGGCTTGTCTGTAGGGTTTGGGTAGGAGAGCGTCGAGACGAAGAGTTAGGTTGCCCAAGGTGATCTCTGGAAAGACTGCAAATTACGGTCACACAAGCCAAAGTTCTCCAGGCCGACTTTGCATCCGACGGTGCTCCCGCGGCGGGGATCGCACCGCCCTCGCCGGTGAACCTTCTTCGGGGCTCCGCTCCCTCGTGTCCTCAGAGTAGAGGCGGCCTGGGAGTCCTGAAGTTTCCCCGAAACTCGTTTTTCTCAGTGGGGTTGGCCTTTCACTTCGCGGGGATAGAATCCCCCGTGAGTGAGCAGGGTCCTCGGTGATTGAGACCCAGCTCCAGTAGAGCGCAGGAGGTGACCTCGTCCAGGTGCGCTGTGGTCAGGGCCAGGTGGAGACCTCCAGGATGGTCATGCCCAGAGGCGGGAGGAGCCCTGGACGGGGAAGGCGGTTTTGCTAAGAATGAGTAGGTGACGGCTGGAAGGGCATTTCAGCGGAGGGAACGGCACCAGAGGTTGCAGGTGAAACTGCTCTGCGCCGGACCTACGAGGAACGAGGGAGGAGGAGCGAAGCGTGGGTGATCCGGACGCCTGGCAGAGGGTTATAATCCTTTAAATGCCGTGCTTGCTGTTTGAGTAGTGCAGACACTGGGGCAAGTGGGGCCCCAGGACTAGGCACATAGAGAGTTTTGTGCACAGCTTCAGGCATGACACGATCTGTCTCTGGAATGGTTTTATTTTGCTTTTTACTCTTTTGTGTGTGTGTGTGTGTGTGTATGTATGTGTATGTGTGTGTGCGCGCGCGTGCGTGCCTGAGCATAAAACAGTTGAATCCGGCAGGTAATTTGCTGATTACCTGCTGTATAACGGGCCTTTTTAGGTGGCAGGGCGCAGCAGTGGCCCAGACAAGGTTCCCCTTGAAGAGGCTTGTATTCTAATAGGAGAAAATAGAGAAATAGAATGAAAATCAGAAAATGATTGTTACATGAAATAGAAACAGGGTGATGTGACTTAGGGATTGTTGATGGGGCGGGCCTTTCTGCAGAGGTGGCCTTCAAACTGAGCAGAGGGAAGGGGATCGGAGACGGGCTGGTGCGAGGCAGGGCCCAGCATATCTGAGAGGCCAGCACGCTCCCTCGGTGCCAGGCTCTGAGGCTCACACAGCTGACTCTCCAAGAGAAGCCTTTGAGGAGGGTGCATTTGCTGTCACCCCATTTCGCAGATTGGAATGAGGGATCACTCGGGCCGTCCTGCTAGAAAGTGACCGAACTGGACTCTAGAAGGAGAATGCTTGACTCCAGAGTTCACTTGCTTCATGTTGCTGTGACAGTCTCCTCGAGACGTGGAGAGTCACGTAACGATGGATGTGTTGCTTGTCAGACAATCAGAGGCTGGCTGGCTGTCGTGTTTGGAATAATTTCTGCACATTCATCTGAAAGAAGCAGACATCTCTAGCTAGCGTGCATGCTTCCAGGGTTCACCAGGCGTGTTCTAATACTGCTTTTCCTGCTTCAGTTCAAGTAAAGGGTTTTATGGGTAAGCACTTGGTCATAAATAAGTAAAAGAAGAGAAAATTTGTGAGGATCCACAGGTTAAGGAGTATTACTGACGTAGCTTTCTGCTGGCCTGGCTTTGGCCTAAACAGGGAAGCTAGCCATCCTAGGGAATGAGTTTTAACTTAGGCCCTCTTAAAATACGGGATTCTCTCACTTGAGTGTAAAAATGCACCTCCTGAAGAGATGGGGCCCCGGGGGCCATAATTCATCGGCTCAGTTCAGTCATTTATCTGTACTTCCTGTGTCTCTCGTGAGGGCAAAGAGCATTTCCCCATCACCTCCTTGACACTCCTGGCCCTCTGCCCATCCTTACGACACTTATGGAATCACAGTTACACCTGTAACGCAGACTTGGTGCTGGGGGGCTAGTCAGGTGGTCTTAATATCTCAGCTGTAATTGAAAGTTTTCCACTTGAGGTCTAGGGTCACATGAGCCTGCTGACTTCATCTCAGAAAGAGGATGTTCCGGGTGCCTGGGTGGCTCAGATGGTTGAGCGTCTGCCTTTGGCTCAGGTCATGATCCCAGGGTCCTGGGATCGAGTCCCGCATCGGGCTCCCTGCTCAGTGCAGAGCCTGCTTCTCCCTCTCCCTCTGCCATTTCCTCTGCTTGTGCTCTCTGGCTCTATCTCTCTGTCAAATAAATAAATAAAATCTTTAAAAAAAATAAAAAGAGGATGTTCCGAGCACTCACCATGAGGATGTGATTAAGAAGCACGGCCTTGCAGGTGTGGGTTCGGCTTGTAGCCCTGTGTGAGCAGGCTGGCCAGTGGGGCCCCTGCAGCCGTTGTGAGCCTCACTCTCCTGTGTGCATGTGAAGGGCTGCTGTGTCCGTGAGTGCCGTTGGCCAGATGAGGCTGAGGCTGTGCTGCCATATAGCTCAGGGGCCTCGGACACTGGCGTGGAGCCAGAGTCTTTGTCTGCTTCCACGCTCCAACCCTGCTGTGGTACCCGTTGGGGCAGGTGCTGCGCCCAGGTTTGGGGGGCAGCGGTGAGCTTTGCCCGGGTGTCTTCACCAGCACCTCAGTCATCTGGTTTGGGTGGCAGTGTGCTCGGATAGAGAGGCTGAGGTCTGGCAGAGCAGCTCCTGACCTTGGGCAAGTGGCTTAAACTATTTGAGGCTCGATCGTCCTTAGTAAGATAGGAGTGATTAAGCTCATTTGGTTATCTGGGTTCTCATCAGTTAATTCCTCATGGAATCCACAACAGCATGTTGAAATAGGAGCAGATACGATCAATTCCACTTACAGATGACGAACTGGGGCACAGACGGCTCCCTTCGCTGGGAATTGGGTGGCATCTTCCTGTTCGTGGAGCGGAGGACCAGGCCCTGAGAGGACCAGGACTTGCACAGCTGGCTGTGGTGCCCTGGGGGGCAGCCTGGACAGAGCCTGGGCCTGGGGAGAGGGGTTGCCGGGGGGCGGGGGGAAGCCCTAGGAATAGACCGGAGGAGGGAGACCTGGGTGCAGTGGCCTGTGGTATGGACCAGCCCCAGGGAAAGTGTGTCCACAGGACTCCACGGTCAGCAAGGGCAGCTCCTGAGGACCAGCAGGAGGAGTGTGGGCCAGGTGACATTAGCAGAAACAGAAGTCCACCCAGTGCTGCTTTGCATGTCACGCACCATTCTGGCTGTCCACCGGAGTCTCTTGCTTGTTTCTTTTTTTTTTTAAGATTATTTATTTTAGAGCACGCACGTGCGGTGAGTTGAGGGCAGAGGGAGAGAGGATCTCAAGCAGACTCCCTGCTGAGTGCAGAGCCTGATGTGGGGCTCCATCTCACCACCCTGAGATCATGACCTTAGCCAAAATCACAAGGCGACACTTGACCGACTGAGCCACGCAGGCACCCCTCTTGCTTGTTTCTTTTCTCTGGACAACTCCTGGCAAAGACACCCAGAAAGAAGTAGTGAATACTGAAAAAATTTGCTTGATCGTGTTGGTGGAAATAGGGCAAAGTGATGAGATCCTTGAACATTTTTATTTAAAGTATTTTGTATGTTTCTCAGTTACAGAATGTCCGAAGGTGACAGTGTTGGAGATTCTGTCCATGGGAAGCCTTCTGTGGTGTACAGATTTTTCACAAGACTTGGACAGGTTGGTTTTTTTTTTGTGGATGAATTGAAGAACTGACTTGAACAGATGAATTGAACTGAGTGAGAAACAGTCGACCTTGGGACGTGTTCCTGTGGGGCACCGGTGCGCTAGCTGCTCGCTTTCCCTCTGCTGCGAATGTGCTCGCGTCTTCTGTCCTCCGTAAAGGGACAGACAGTGTTTAGGCCTTGGAGGCCACCTATGTTCTGCCCTACACTTGTTTTCTGGTTTTTTGTCCCCCAACAACCTTTACAAAGCTGAAAACCCTTCTTAGCTCCTGGGCGGTGTGGCCTTGGTGGCGGCCGCCGCCATGTGCTTACTGTCCTCCCTCCGGGCCACCGCCTCCGTGTCCCCGGCCCAGCTCTGCACTGACCTGTGGGTGTACCTGTGTGCTGTGCTGAGGCCCGCTGTAGTCCGCGGGGCCTGAAGCTGCTACGTCCAGACGCTGAGTTCAGTGAACAGTTGTGTATACTGATGTTTTGGCTTAGAATTAAAAATGTACTTAAAATTAAAAAAGAACATTTGGAAAACTTCATAATTATTGAAGCCAGGCTGTGGGTACTTTTGGTTTTATGAACAGTTGAACTTTTTCATAAATTAAGTTTAAAAATTAAAATTAGTTACAAAATTAAAATTAAATAATGCATATATGTCTGCTAATTATGTGTACCTGCACACAATGCCTGTGCATATATGGGTAAGACCAGCGATTCCTTCCGGAAACTCCACCATGCCCTAGCTCCACACCTGCCGGAGGTCAGGCTGTGGCTGACTGTCCTGAGAGCAGAGGCAGGGGCCCCCTGTGGCTGCTGGGCAGGGCTGGGGCCAGCTCTGGGAGGGGCGGGACTCTGAGCGTGAGCCCCATGTAAGGTGCCCACACTCTTCGTGCTCTCTGGGTGAGGTTAGGTGACCTCATAATGACCCCTCAGGCTGATGCTATAGGATTGGCTGCTGTGAGAGATCGTTCTGTACTATTTTTGCTTCAGGGGTGGGCATGTTTCAGGAATTTGGGTTAATAGTCATTGTGTTGCTGACTTAAAGTCCGAAGTTGGTGCTCATGGGAAGTGTGCTCTGCGGTCCACAGCGCATGTTAACTCCTGTCTTTCTAGATCTATCAGTCCTGGCTAGACAAGTCCACGCCTTACACAGCCGTGCGATGGGTGGTGACACTGGGCCTGAGCTTCGTCTATATGATTCGAGTTTACCTCCTGCAGGTAGGTGTGGGCTGGGAGCCGAGCCCCTGCCATGTCCACACTGTCCAAATGTGGCCCTGGGTGGGATTTGGGTTTTTCCCTCTATTTCTAGAGTAGGAGGGTTCATGGTGGCAGGACGCAGCCTTCGCGGCCAGCTAAAATTGACTTCAAATTTACTATAATTGTTAGGATTGTTGTTGTTTGAATGGGAACTTGGTCCATTCTCTAATGGAAAGAGTGACCCGGAGACCTCGATTTAGGGGTGCAGGTGGGATGGGGATGCAACTGTCTTCTGAACCAAGTCTGCACCTGATTTGGTGCCCCTTAGGTGTGGCTCTGCAGCATGAAGGTACGTGAACTTTCCACATCTAGTTTGTAGTTCTCAGACTTGAAAAGTTTTAAGACAGAAGGATTTCCTCTTGTTTGCATGCACATTTTTTAGGCTTTTAAAATTGATAATGCAGTGCATTTTGGTCTAATAGGGTAAACTTGATGCTTTTAAAAATGGATTTAAGGGGCGCCTGGGTGGCTCAGTCGTTAGGCTCCCGCCTTTGGCTCGGGTCATGATCCCAGGGTCCTGGGATCGAGCCCGGCATCGGGCTCCCTGCTCCGCGGGAAGCCTGCTTCTCCCTCTCCCACTCCCCCTGCTTGTGTTCCCTCTTTCACTGCTCTCTCTCTCAAATAAATAAATAAAATCTTTTAAAAAAAAGATTTTATTTATTTGACAGAGGAAGACACAGCGAGAGAGGGAACACAAGCAGGGGGAGTGGGAGAGGGAGAAGCAGGCTTCCCGCTGAGCAGGGAGCTGCATATGGAACTCAATCCCAGGACCCTGAGATCATGACCTGAACTGAAGGCAGACGCTTAACCTGACTGAGCCACCCAGGCACCCCTCCACGTTTTTTTAACCTCATTCTTGATTTCCTGATTTTCTGGTTCTGGATTTCTTCTGGGCAAAGATTATTAACAGCCTGACCGGTGTGTGGTGGTATGGGGGGCCCACCAGAAGGAATAATAGCCAGCACATCCTGAGTGATGGCTCACATCCTATCTTCTGGGTCAGGTAGCCATCGGTGAGGCAGGGTCTGGGCCAGGTGTACATGCCAGTGTCCTTCAGTGTACGATCTACACCTGCCCAGTGGTGTGGTCCAGCTCAGGTGTGTGGCTTTGGGGAAAGCCTCCTCTCCTCCTGCATCGGTGGTGGGGAGCTGGTGGCTTCAGGTGCTCCGTGCATCCACCGGGACCCTTGCAGAAGTTTACTGTTTGCACCGTGGCTTATCCGCTGTCACACTCACAAAGTAATTTGAGATAAACTGTCATTGTTGATGTTCACTGTGCCTCCTTGTCACTTGTTGCAATCTCCCGACTGGAAGTAAGTTGTTCATGCTTTGAGGTTGAGCTAAAACAGGTCGTGAGTTACTGGAACGTTGTGGGGCTGGTTCAGGGCACGGGCGCTGGGCCGCGTCACTGGCCGAGTGCTCCTGTTTTGCAGGGCTGGTACATCGTGACCTACGCCTTGGGGATCTACCACCTCAATCTTTTCATAGCCTTTCTCTCGCCCAAAGTGGACCCTTCCTTGATGGAAGACTCAGGTATAGTAGAGATCGTCTGCTTGGTTCTGTCTGTTCGGGAGGTTTGTGATTTTGTACACTTCACAGATGCCTCATTTTCTCTAGAAACCTTTGAAATCCGAACTTTTGAGACTGTCCTCTTGGTGTTTAAAATGTACTTAGAACCTCAGTGAGGATACACTTGGGTGTAGATTGAGACATTAAACCTTAGTCGTCACGCATCATGTGGGGTGGGTATTCCTGCTACTCTGTTGTGGATGAGGAAGCGGAGGTGCCCGGGGTCACGCGACTTGGCCAGGGTCGCGTGGGAGCAGGGGTGGCACTCCTGCCAAAGAGCCCGCCTGTTCTCAAGTCCTGTCTATGCTCCTTGGGTAGGTCCTCTTCCTGGGCACCCAGAGGTTTCCACGGGCAGATTGCTGTGCCCAAAAGTGCCCACTGGGATCCTGACCATCCACGGTTGGGCCCTGTTGAGGGTGGTGGCGCTCCCTGATTTCCCAGGATGACAGGTTGAAAAGTTCTCGGCTTAAACTGTTCCTGGCCATACCTGGGCCAGGTAGGAGGGCCACGTCCACATCTGACTGTCCAGCCGGGGAGGGGGAGGTGGAGGTGGAGGGGTACAGACATGTGGAGACTCGGTCACTCCTGCCAACACGTGTCGCCGCTGTCGGAAAAACCCGGGCACAGCTGCCTGCCCATGGATTCCCCTTGTGACGGCGGTACTTCCTGAGTACAAGCTGTCTTCTCCAGGCTGCTCCAGTCCTGACCAGAAGCCTGTGGTTTTTCTCTATGGAGTATTCAATGAAAATGTGAAAGGAAACAACACTCCCATTTGTTGCCATTTGGGGCAATTAGAAGATGATTAGGAGAGCTTCTCTATAGGCCTCAGTTGGTGTGTGTAGCTGGGGAGGGCGCCTGCCTGTACCCAGCTCAGCGTGGGGGCCTCAGCATGGAGGGGGCTCAGCCAGGGGGGCTCAGGAGTGCTCAGTGTTGGGGGGGTGCTCAGCCAGGAGGGCTTAGCATGGTGGGGGACTCAGCTGGGGGGCTCAGCATTGGGGGGTGCTCAGCCAAGAGGGCTCAGCATTGGGGGGGTTGCTCAGCCAAGGGGGGCTCAGCGTGGGGGGCTCAGCCAGGAGTGCTCATTGTTGGGGGGGTGCTCAGCCAGGAGGACTTAGCATGGTGGGGGACTCAGCTGGGAGGTTCTGTGTGGGAGGGCTCAGCATTGGGGGGGAGCTCAGCCAAGAAGGCTCAGTGTTGGGGGGCTGCTCAGCCAGGAGGGCTCAGTGGGGGGATCAGTGTGGGGGGCAGCTGTTCTGAGTGGACTCTCAGCAGATAAAGCTTTGTGTGTCTCCGCTCCTTTTCCCTAAATGTTCTCATTTTCCCTGTGTGCCTTTGTGCGCTACTGTTGATGTGTGTCTGAAAATTGGTCTGCAGTTTAATTTTATGCAATCATTTAAAATGTGTAGTTCTTTTAAAAAAGAAATTCTATTCTGAATCTTCTGAAGCAATAAATTGATTTCTAAATCAGTTGAAGGTTCCCCATGTTACGTTTGGTTAAATAACATAAATGTGTGTTTTATGCGTTAGGCTGCTAATTCAGAAGCTTTAGGGGAAACTTATAAATGTGATGGGGGCAGGTGGATGAGGCGCCTGCTCCATCTCACTGACATTCTGTCTTTCAGATGACGGCCCCTCATTACCAACCAAACAGAACGAGGAGTTCCGGCCCTTTATTCGAAGGCTTCCAGAGTTTAAATTTTGGTGAGTTAATTCCTAAGGGTAGTTGAGAAAGACATTTGTCCTCAGTGTGGCTAATAAGAGTGAGAACAGAGGGTTTTTGTTTTAGTTAGCCAGCAAAGACTTCTGAAAGAAACGAGAGTTTTAGTGTGTGTGTGTGTGTGTGTGTTTTGAACATTCAAAATGCGAGTTGCTGTCCTTGGCGGGGCGTGGAGGCAGGTCACAGGGACCCCTGTAGGAGAGCCCATCGCCTGGTGGCCCTTTGGGACTAGCCAAAGAGAAGCTGCTTCCGGGGCGGAGGGTCCGGGGTATGTTCAGACGTGGGCCTTGGGAGGGATGTGTGCCCAGGCTCTGGCTGCCCTGCACAGACCGGCCAGCCTGTGTGCTGCCCCTTGTACCGCACCCCTTCTAGTTGCTGGCATGAGTGGACCACCTCCCCCGCCCTCCTGCTCGGGGTGTCTTTACAGAGGCAGGGCTGGTGCAGCCTTGGGGCAGTCTGCTTTCACTGGAAGTGCTGTGCTCTGGGGTGGGGCTTGGATGGGACTTGACTTGTCCCCCAGGCCTCCTGGAGGCAGTGACATCTGTGTGATGTTGCACGAGGATGCACGTGACAGGTGGACAGGTGAGCCCTGCTGTCATGTGTGAAGCCTGCATGAAGGGGACCCCCACCACATGAAGGCTGTGACCTCGTCTGTCCTCTATTTGTTGGAGCAAAAACCCAAAGGGGAAAGCTGCCACACCTTTACTTTGTGTTCTTGGCGCTGTGTGTGGGATGTGGCAGGCACTCTGCAAGTCTGCTGGCTGTGCGGGAAGGGCTGGAGTGAGGGCACTGCTGGGGAGGGAGCAGAAGGCTGGCAAGACAGTCCTGCAAGTCCCCCAGGGAAGTTGGCCTTTGTCCTGTAGGAAAGGGGAGTGCTGAGGAGCATTTTCAGTAGCGCCAGGAGTCCGGCTGGTGGGCTGGGCCCTGAGCTGGAGGGAGCCGCCTGGGTGCTGCCAGGATCTCCTCAGCGATGCACAGCCCAGGCGAGGGGCCTGCCAGGTGTATGGGGCGTATTCCAGGTGGCAGACGAGAGACGCCCAAGTTGGCCTGAGCAGTTGCACCTCTTTGCTGAATGTTTCATACTCTATAAATTTTGGAAGGAAATGGGCCATTAAGGGACCGAGGGAATGCTGTGTTTGTAGTTACATGCGGTGCACTCTGTAGGAAACACACACCACGCCCCTTCTGCCCCAGGTAGGGGTGCTGCCGTGGCCCCGGGTGGCGGGGCAGCTGGTGGCACTGACCTCCTCCCCCGCTTTAAGGCATGCGGCGACCAAGGGCATCCTCGTGGCTATGGCCTGCACCTTCTTTGAGGCTTTCAATGTCCCGGTGTTCTGGCCCATCCTGGTGATGTACTTCATCATGCTTTTCTGTATCACCATGAAGAGGCAAATAAAGGTGAGCGCGAGTGGGCACCGCTGCCTTGGGAGGCGCTGAGAGCCCTGCTTGGGTCTTGTTTGTCTGTACCTGGAGCGTCCTGAAGCTCTGTGCAACAGGGACACGGCACAGCCCCTTTCCGCCAACACTTACCTGTCCAGCGGTGCAGCTGTCGAGCACACAGACCGCTCCCTGGGGGCCTGGTGGGAGAGCCCTCGGTTCTCCCATGCCGTCCTCACTGGCATGTCCTGGGGGCTCAGAGCCCAGGGCCCACCGGCCAGTCAGTGTGTTACACCAACATTACCCTCAAACAGCCCCCAGGGCAGCTTTATCCCCACTCCCTTGGGCGTATCATAGGGCTCCCCAGCCCAGCCCTAGCCCTTCCTGCATGCAAGGGGTCAGGAAACCTTTCCCAGACCCTCGGGATTTCCAGCGAGCTCGGCCAGCTCAGTGGGCTCTGGAGGGGCTGTGTCACTGGTGGGGAGGGGACTAGAAGCTTATTGGAACCCTGGTTTCCTTGCCGTGTGTGTAGAGATGAGGATTCAGATTTGGAGAAAACAGAGTTCGTCGTGAAGCCACTCTAAAATGAGTCTGTTTGTCCCCAGCACATGATAAAGTACCGGTACATCCCGTTCACGCACGGCAAGAGGACGTACAAGGGGAAGGAGGACGCAGGCAAGACGTTTGCGAGCTAGGTGCTCGGCCGGACCCACCAGAGCCTGAGGACGGTTCTGAGCCATTGTAACAATGCCTTCTTCCTTCACATAAAGTAGTTGATTTCGAGGGAGTCGAATTTTCTTTTTAAAAAGGAGCTTCAATTATTTGTAACTGAAATGTCAGGTTCTTGAAGAAACTGACATTTAAACCAAATTGCATTGATTTATTTTTCAGTGACATTCAAGTGTTCAAATGGACAGAATTCTAGTAAACTGCTGCCTGGGCGGACAATCGGGTGGGGGCGTGGGGAGGGGCGGGTGGTCTCTGTTGCTGGGCGGCCGTGGAACAGACCTACACGGAAGGAGCCGGGTTGTGCCCCAGCTGCCCCCACCCTGGACGCCCGTGGCCACGTCACCCAGCTGGAGGATGATGCTAACCTGATTCCCGCGCGTTGGAAGAACATTTGAAAGGTGATTTCCAAGTAACTCTGGGGTTCTAATGCGAGTTTCCCACTTTCATCTCACTAGAGATGTTTAAAGTTGGTCTCTTATCATAATGACTCAAAACTTTGTTCTTAATTACCATGATTGCTTTTGAGGGCCTGGAATTATAAATATATATATTATATTTTAATTGTTTGGAATTATTTTGACACATTTCTTTGATACCTGAAGAGTTGTTTTTGATTAATTTGAAGTTCTTATGCAGTGGCCCCTTTACAGAAACAGTGGGCAAGGGCAGACCAGTTTGTGGGTTTTAACACACGGCTTCTCACTTTCTACGGGAAAACAGAACTGACCCGCATGTCAACTTTTTTGATGTGATAAAAACAAATACTCGTAAACATTTTACTAAGTAACTTTTTAATTCCAACTTTATTAAAGACAGTGTCCCCTTTCTTGTGGAGTCTTTATCTGAAACACGACAGCTCACTGCCTGTGAGCATGCACTGAGCTGGGCCGGTCACTGGGGCACAGGTGCTGAGGGGCAGGCCCATGGGGTCTTCCTGGTCTCAGGAACTGCAGACTTGTACCTCTTCCCAGTTTCCCAACTGTCTTAGGGTTTTAGGCACTGAATGTGCTTATTTTCTGGCTTTTTTGGGCCAAGTTTTGCAGATATCTGAAATTGAGCAGCTCTTGCTTTTAAGAGGCCATACGAAGACCTTTTACATACCTGATCCTGTATTTTAATCTCAGTACTTAAATGATATTCTGGATCAGTATCTTTGATACAACATCGTGGCGTGTGAGATGTTGAAACTCTGGACGCTTTTTTCATACCGTTTTCCTGGTAAATGCTCAGGCCTAAGATGTGATGGGAAATGGTCTGCGCTTGGTCAGGGCGTACATAAAGGGCCTCAGGAAGCGTGGGGCCCCTCTCGGGGCTCCTCCTCAGTCTGGCCTGTGGTCACGGTGACCTGTCTCAGTTGGCCGGCCTGTAGTAACCGAGGAGTGTGCAGTGATGCATTCCTGGACGACTGTGTCCGCGCAGATCCTGGAATGGTCTGCATAGGCCTCTGCCAGAAGCCTGGGCCACAGCCTCGCACAGGGGGCGGGACATCCTGACCACAGGTTCTTGCCCTTTATGAAATGTGATCTTTAGTTCACACTGACAGCTTTCTTAATATACCTACGCTCCCGTGGAGTTAGTTTCTTAAGAGAGCTTATGGCAAAGTCCAGTCTCCGGCACAAGTTAAATACTTTTAAAGACCTGAAAGTGACAAAAAGGTGGCAGGAAGTAGGCTGGACAAGGGGTGACCTGGTGTGAGCAGCCAGCCTGCCCAGGCCTCAGGGAGAGCTGAGCTCTGAGAGGCAGCTATGGGTTAGGTGTGGTGTGAAGAAACTGGAGAACTGTGCAGGCTGGCTCTGCACTGTGGAGCTCTGAGCAGACCCCAGCCAAAATGCAGATTCTGTTTTCTAAAATGGGAAACAAACTGGAACGTGTATTAAAAGGTATGAGCCACGCATCTCAGGTGGAGATACAGCTCCTTGGAGTCTTTGTACTCCTGTGAATGGATGTAGCTGAGCCACCAGAAGCCTGCCTCTGATGAGGGCAAGGTTTCCAGGTCGTTGGGGTGGGTGGATTGGCCAGTGGGTAAGCCCTGCTGTCCGCTGTTCTCCACACTTGCCCATTCAGGCCAAACCCTGACTGCCTGATACAGACTCATTCTCTCATCACATGAATGGCTGGTCCCATTTCTGAAGCTTTCACCTGTATGGTTTGGGGAAGGGATGAAAGCAACCTGGTCCAACAGAATCCGGCTCCTGAAGAAGTGACCCAGATGCACCACAGTGGGGGTGCAGCTCAGCCCCCCTGCAGGCTTGGCCCCAGCTGCTGCTTGCCGTCTGTGCGTGGGCCCACACTCAGCCCAGAGGCCTCGGACCTGCCATCCTGCAGGTAGATCCAGCCTCTCCCCCTGAGCTGCTGGCGTAGTTTATGTGACAGGAAATAAAATCTCAGAATTTAATGATTTCTATGCAAGTAAAGTTAACCTTGAGAATAGATCGAGTTTCTCTCCTGATACCAAGAAAGAGTCCTGGGGTCCTCTGTCCTCGGTCAGGTTAGCGATAGTGCCGCAGGTAGACAAGCTTCTGGGGAGGGAACTTCTCCCTGCAGAGAGGGCACTCCGTCTGCAAGGGGGAGGAGGGCCATGTAGGCTGTGGCCAGCACAGCCCCCGCCACAGGCCCTCCCACACGGGCATCTGCAGTAACCATGGGACGTGCACACGTGTCTATTAACTTTAAATGAAGACCGTTTCCAAAAAGCACTTTTTTCAGAAGTCACAAACCTGAAGGGAAGGCCTTAACCCTGGGGGAGTGGGGGAGTGGCGCCGGGAACAGTGGCTAGGCCAGGGAGGCAGCTCATCTTGTCTGTGCAGTGATGGGGCTGGCGACGGGTGCTCCCAGCCACTAAGTTGGGTTGTGTTAAGAGGAGCACACGGGGCCCTGTCCGGCTCAGTCCCAGTGGCCCCGCCCCTAAAGGCCGGTCGGATTCTCTCTTGTCCCCAGTAAGGTCTGCTGGTCTTGCACTAGGTGTTCCTGCCTGGGGCCAGCTGCTTACAGGAGGCGGCACCCGTGTTCTTGAGAGAATCCCTCAAAATGGGAAGCAGGGGCCCCAAAGTGGAGGCTGTGTGACAATCCAGTGGGACCCACATGATGCAGACATTTCACAGGTGCTGAATCTAAGTCAGCTGCAGCCAGGCTCTGAGGCCACGGCCACTGTGGACCCCGGACACAGGCTCTGAGGAATGCCCCTTGACCAACCGCTGGAGGTGAATGTCCTCAAGTTAGAAAGAGGACGGGGTGTTTAAACCGTGAGGCACACATCCCGCCCCTTGTTTACCTACCTCACCTGTGCGGCCCTCCCCACCGTCAGCCCTGAGAAGTCTGGATTTGGGCTGAGTCTGGGTGACAGGGCTGGTGGGGGCCCAGGAACCCCACCCCTCCCTGGAGTCAGCGTGGAGGTCACGGTCTCCACCCCGAGGTCTCAAAAGGCTGGAGTAGGTGGCTTTGCATCCTGAGGGCTCCCATGTGGGTGGTCACAGCGGGGCATCTGTCTAGCTGGAGGGGGCCGTGTGTGTGTGCAGGTGAGCCAGGCTTCCAAGCAGCGGCAGGGTCGGGGTAAGACTCTAGGAATGGAACCTCAGGGCTGGGCTGCTGTCCCCACCTCCCAGCAAGGCCTCTGGATGCACAACTGTAGCACCCTGACTCCAGGTATGTCCCGTAAGCGGTTCATCTGGGAGCTTTAGAAAGAGGCCCACCTTCCCATCCCCTCCTAGGACGTGTCTGGGACAGGCTTCTTGATTCCTGGGCAGCCGCCTGGGCTGGCCTGTGCACCTGCTCATGAAGCCTGTGCTCCCGAATCACAGCTGCTGACCCTGGGCGCACCCACCTTGGTGTCGCACCACTGGGTGATGCACTCCCAGCAGAAGAGGTGGCCGCAGGGCGTGGCTGTGGAGTGTCTGCGTTCCTCCAGGCACAGCGTACACATGGAGTTTCTAGAAACAGCTTTCTCTTCCATGTGGCTCCTGGTGGTGGGGCAGGGAGACCCCAAAATTTACCTCAAGAGTCCTGGCAATGCCTGCTCAGCCCCCACCCTTGCCCCCACCCCCTGGGCTGGAGCAGCTGAGCTAGGGCCCACGCCCTCCCGCCATCCCCACACCTGTGCTGAGACAGGCCGCGGTGCAGCTTCCACTCCCGCCGGGCGCGTTGCCGCTGCCGGAAGCCGTGCAGCTGCAGGCCCACGGACAGCGCCAGGTGTAGCAGGGACACGAGCCCCAGCAGCCTGTAGCTGTCTCGGGCCCTCAGGTCCTCTGTAGCCGGGCAGCGGACGCGAAGCTGTCAAGGACCCCAAGGGACAGTCACACGATCGGCTGGCACAACGCACTGAACAGCCTGGGCGCCAGGCCTCCCCCTGGCAGTAGAGTGCCCCATCGAATGACGCCAAAACCTGCCCTCCTGGCACAAGGTGGGGGGACAGAGAGTGATCATGGGGCCTCTTTGCTGAGTGAGGAGGGCAGAAGCACCCTGTAAGGTCTGAGCACCAGGTGGGGGCTGCTGCTGGACAGCTCGGGGCCTCACTTCCGAGGGGAATGAGTGAGTGCTGAGTGAGGGCAAGGAAGACTGCCCAGACTCCCAGTCTGTAGTCACTCTGGCTGCAGGCGAGGATTTGGGGGGTGGGGGGGTATATCGGGGGACTCACATCTCAGAAAAGGTACCGGCAAAGAATCTGGAGAAAAACAGCCCTGGGGGGGGGGCGGGCAGGAGGAAAAGCCCTCCAGGCAGATACTGTTAACCAGCTTCTCTATCACATGAACAGAGAAGCTCCTGGCTTTTAGCAGGACGCCTGGCTCCCCCCGTGACGCAAGACCACACAGATGACACTGCAGCTAGCGATGTGCCCGACTTCAAGGGAAGGTCAGCTGTCCTCCATTCTGGTCTCCCCTTGGCTAGGAGCCCCCCAATCAGGCCCCATGTGCCTGTGCAGAGAAGGCCGCCGGAGAGCAAAAGCCCTTTGTCTGGGTTGAGGCTGTTTTTCTGGCCCTTTGCTACGGCAGCTCAGCACACACCCTAGCTTACGCCGGGGCCGTCAGCTCTCATGAGTGTGCACACTGAGGGCTGAGGCTGGAGAGGGGAGAGGCAGGTGCTCAGGACAGTGCTGCCAAGTGAGGCGGGAAAGTGGGTAACCCTGTGGTGATCAGGGGCCTGAGTTGAGACTTTTTGGGTGAATCCGGAAGCAAAGGCACCAGGTGAGAAACAGGATGAAAAGTGGGACTGCTTGGCAGGCTCAGACCAGGGAAGGTCCTCGCAGTAACGGGAGACATCGCTACACCTGACCCTCTGGCAGGGCAGCTGGGAAGGAGCTGGCGTGGGGCCCAGGGGCCTGGAGCCTTGGGCGGGTTCTCAGAGTAAACAGCAGGGGGGGCATGCAAGTGCTGGCTGCAGGGAGGCAGGCGTGCCTTACCCTCAAGGTTGACTTTCTAGGGTCTTTTAACAAATGCGATGCGATAAAACCCATGTTTTCTTGGCTCCAACCCTGTGACCCTGCTAGCTGCCAGAAGCTGAACACACAGCAGCCAGAGTCGAGCGAGTCGGGACGGCACCAGCGACTTACGTAAGTGACTCCTGTGAGCCTCTTGGCCAAGTGGTAGAAGGCGCCATGGATGTAGAACCAGGCAACGTGGAGCCGCCGGAGGTAGCCGAGGCCCTGCTTGAGCACCAGAACAGCCCGCAGGAGCGTCCTCTTCTGCTGCTCTGTCAGGGCAGCCACGTGCTGGCGCACCCAGTGCCTCGATCCTGACCGGCCACGCCCGCCCAGTGTGAGGCTGCCCTGCGAGGGCCTGGCGCCATTGGCATCAGCCTGCAGCTCGAGCTCCAGGTGCAGCAGGGCCTTGTCCAGAAGGTAGGGCAGGATGGTGTGCAGCGCCACCAGCACACCACGGCGCAGCCTTGAGGGCACTCTGCTCCGGGATGGGTCCACCTGGATGACACCAACATACTCCTCCCCGAGGGTCTGGTAGCCTGCCGGGTGAGGGCGTGGGGGTGACCCACACGAGAAACTGAGGCAGGGGCCTGCCATCCTTTTCTTTCTCCTCATACTGGATTTTGCTTTCAGGTCCCTGCCTTTCCTCTGAAGAATGACGCTCCACTGGAGCCCCACTGACCTTGCCCTGTGACAGGGCTTAGTGCTGGGACCCCCACTGAACCACAGAACTCACCCACAGAGAACAGTTCCAATGGCACTCTGGGCAAAGTTGAGGACAAAGGTTCCCAGGAACACAAAAAGGAAGAGAGGAGGGCACAGATGTGACCCTGGGAGTTTCAGAGGTTCCAGCTGGGGCTCAGGGCCTGGCCTCTCCTCCTTCTCCCCTGAGACTGCGTCTGGGCCAGCTCCAGGGACACGGGGAAGCACCTCCAGGAGTCTCCCTCTGCTGGCAGCACCCCCACCCCCAGGCTTGGTGTGTTGTGGGCTCCCTGGTCTCAAGGTCCCAACAGGACTGCTACCTGCAAATGTGGTGAGGCCAAAGTAGGCCACATCCGACAGCAGCTCGACCTCTCTCCTGCACTCCAGCCACCTCTTTGCACCTGAGAGAAGAGGGGGCAGGGGGCGCGGTGGTAAGGGTCCAATCCTTCCTTGGTTCCTCCTGCTGCCAAGGTCCAGCCACCCCTCCACCAGGCTGAGACCGCCCCTAAACCACACTCTTCTCTCGGTCCTGGCCTCCGTGCTGCTCCATGTCTCCCGCCTTGTCTGACAGTCTCCGGAGAACCTCCCCACCTGCAGCCATGGCTGCGCACCTCTTTCAGGGCCCGCCAGGGTACCTAGACCCCGGAAGGGCCACAAGGGCAGGGAGGGTAGGACGGTGACCAAGTACTCAAGCCGAGACCGCCGTCCGGCATCAAACCCACCCCCGCATAGCTGGTTGTGACCTCAGGCAAGTTAAATGCGTCTACGGAACCCCGAGTTCCCTCCGTAAAACGAGGTACACCAACGGAGTCCTTCCTGGGAACGACGTCTTGAGAATTAAACAGGCAGTGTTTGTGAAGCACCGAGAACGTTACTTGGTACAAAAGAAGTCGAGGAGTAACGTAACCACAAGCCGTTTCTCCCGCTCACACCTCCGCGCTGCTCAGCGCCCCCAGCCCCGCGGTCCCCGCCCGCTGCCCGGACGCACGCTGGGGTCCCCTCTCCCCCGCTGCAGGCCCGGGCTCACCCGCCAAGCTGTGCAGGGCGCCGCCCGCCGCGCTCCGCAGGCCGCCGCGGTAGTAGTCGTCCTTCTGTGCCGCGCGAACCACCTCCGCGGGGCCGGCGGCCGCGGGAGCCATGTCTGCGCCCCGCTGGGGCCGGGGACCCACCTGGCCACGCCCACGCAGGCGGTGCCCGATGACGCCAGCGTGCGGCTCAGACCTTGCGCGCCCTCCGCGGGGGCGGGGCTGACGGGTGCCCACGCGGGGCGGAGCTGTGCAGGCGTTGAGGGGGCGACGTGAACGCGGGCGGGGGCCGGAGCCGGGACCGAGGGTGGGGCCGAGAAGGGCGGGGGGCGACGAGAACACCGGCAGGGGCGGGGTCCGGGGGCGGGGTCCAGGGGCGGGGCCGAGAGGGGCGGGGGCGACGTGAACACCCGCAGGGCCCGGGGTCAAAGAAGGAGCCGTGCGGGCCGGGGGCGGGTCCGGGGGTCGACGTGAACGCGGGCAGGGGCTGGGGCCGGGCCCGGGGGCGGGGCCGGGGCCGCGAGAGGGGGACCCGGGGGCGGGGCCGCAAGGGGTGAGGGGCGAAGTGAACACCGGCAGGGCCCGGGGCCGGGGGCGGGCCCAGGGGAGGGTCCAGGGGCGGGTCCGCGAGGGGCCAGGGGCGGGGCCGGGCCTCGGGGGTGTGGGAGCCGGCCGGGGCCTGATTCTGGGGCGGGCGGGAAGTGATGGGGTTTCCGGCTCCGAAAGCTGATGTGGCGGGTTCGTGGTGAGCAGGGATCGGGGGTCCACGGTGACGACGATAAGACAGGCGCCGCTCCTCATCCAGCGGGCTGCCCGGCGCGGGGCTTCGCAAGTCCCGACCCTGACCGCTCGTAGCCGCCCTGCTCAGAGGAGGGGCCAAGGGAGGCCACACAGCAGAGGGCGAGCGCTGGGAGAGCCCACGTGCCCAGCCACAGGCCACAGCTGGACTTGAGCTGCGTGGGGGGGGCAGGGGACAGGGAGGTGGGAGGAGGGGTGGGCACGCGCTGCGCATCTGTGCCCCACCTGCTGTCTGGCCGAGGGAGGGCAGGGGTGCCCCAGACAGACCTGAGTGGCACCAGGCCTGGCTGGCTGGGGAGGAGAAGCCCCTTGTCCTTTTGTTACTACAGGGCTGCGGAGCCCCTGAGCCTGCGCTGACCTTGCCCAGGAGGGCATATAGGGCGGGACAGGCTGCAGCGCTTGGCCTCACCGCTGCTCTCCTCTGCAGGAACACAGCCCACTGACAAGCAGCCAGGCTGTGGCGTGGCTGTGGACACTGGCCCAGAACTGATCGGCCGGTCCCTCGGGCTGTGGGCGGGCCCCTCTTAGAGGGGCTGCACAGCCTGGCTGATTCCCATAGTCCCTCCTGCTACTGGAGCCCCCTTGCCCTTTTGGAGCCAAGCCTCCGCCCCTGCCCCCGTTTCCTGGAGACAGAGGCTGCCTGAAGCTTCAGTGGGCAGCCCAGGGTAGACCCTTCAGCGGGAGAGGGGGGCAGGGGGAAGACCCGGAGGCCTTCACAAAGTTCTGACCAACTGCGTCTACCAGTCTGCAACGCTCAGCTCCTTCCTGGTCCCAAAGACGCCCTGGCCCGTGGGTTTGCACAGACAGACTCTGTGTCCACCGGCACCCAGCTGGCTTTGATGGAGGTTTCCTTCCCTCACTGGCCGGTCCTACCCACCAGTGGGTCCTGCTCAGGACTGCCCCTTCCAGGCAGCTCTGCTGCTCAGCCTCACGCCCGGGCAGGGCAAGGCCCGAAACGATGTGACCAAGTGTGTGTTGTTCTGGGCAGGTGGGACCTAGGTCCACCCGGATTCAGTCTCAGTTTCCAACCCCAGGTGCTGCACCGGGTCCTCACTAAGAGGACCTGGGGTTGGAGTCAGATTGCACAACGGCCAGCAGGTGGCGCCATTGGCCCATCTGCTCCCCCAGGTCAGTGGTAGAATCTTAGGGGATTAGGGAGTGAGTTTCACCCCAAAGAGTGAATCTGGATCAGAATTCAAAGAGGTAGCAGACTGACTCTGATCTCCTCTGGCAGGAAGGTAGAGAGCCGTGTGGACCTGCGCCGGGCTTGAGGTGGCCGGCTGGAGTCCAGCCCTGGTGTGGGCCCGCTGTCCTCAGGCTGGGCCTGCAGTGGGGGTTGCTCCATTTGAAACTGCGTGTGCCCTACCAGCTGTGACCGCAGCAGGCCCTTGGTCCCTTACAGAGAGCTCTCCCATATGTTCTGCCTTAACCCCCAGACCTCTGTCTCTGCTCTGTGAAATGGGAACGCTGATGGAATCAGCTGGTGTTTATTAGGAGCCTGGGTCACAGGCCACCCTTGGAGCAGGAGTGTGACTCTCAGCACGCAGTGTCCCATGTCCCTCCTCCGGGAGGCCTGCTCTGGCCCCTCACTGAGCCCTGCTGCATACCTCACCCCGGGGTCTCTGCCTCGTCTCCCACCTCCACCCAGCACCACCCAGCACCACCCAGCGGCCTAGTGGGCCAGCCAGTGGTCAGCTTGTGTGTGTCCCTCTGCTTCACCAGGGAGGCCGGCTTCACCTGGCATAGCCTTCCTGCTCGGGTGGCCTGGCACACATAGGTGCTCAGGAAAACAGTGCCGGGGGGAGAGAAGAAGGAGAAACCATGTGGGTCAGCTTGTTGCCCCCGTTCTCACTAAGGTAGTCTCAGCATGTCACTCCCTCCTCCAGTCCTCAGGGCTCAGGGTCCCCCTGTCAGGTGCCCGGTGGGGTGCACCCCTGTCCTGGGACTGGGAGTGGGGGTTCCCAGGCAGAGATGTCAACCCAGGGGGCAGGAGGTTGGGGGACACAGGACGCTGGAGAAGGCTGTGTGTGTGTCCAGACGCCACATGCCTGGGTGCTGGGCCTGGGTCCCTGACTGGGCAGGCGCCCTGGGGGGGCAGAGCCGAGGAGGGCACTGCGGCCTTTTGAGGGGAGCATCTTCTGGACAAACCCGGAGAACAGGTTCCTCCACCCCGTGGCTTCCCGGAGGGCTTGGCGGCCCAGGAATGAACCTCACTCCACGGGCTGGCATGGGTGTGCAGTGGCCATGGGGTGGGCAGGGGTGGGGGCAGCCTGCGGAGGGGAGGGGAGGGCAGTACCTCCAGAAAGAGCCAGGGCTGTGCAACACTGGGACTCCAGCCAGGCCCCCGTGCAGAGGCCTCCTGAGCCGAGGGGTGGTCCCATACAGTGCCCAGTCGGGGGGCTTGTTAGGTGGGGTCAGGACAAGGGGCCCGAGTGCGGAGCCTGGGCTTGGGGCTTGGGCTTGTCTGGGAGGTGATGTCAGTGATTCTGGGGCGCGGGTGGGTGGCTGGGGACCAGTGTGTCCTTGTGCTGGTCAGGGATAGGATTTTCTTGGCAGAACTGTGTGTCTGGCGGGAGCAGAGCCAACCTGGTGCTCTGGGGCTCGGGGCCAAAGTCAGGGTTCACGGGAGCCAGGACAGGAATCCGAACTTGGGGGCTGAGGAAGGAATGTGGCAGAGCTCAGAGAGGCTGTCCTTTGGTTAAAGCAGGCACCAGGTGAATCCCAGCTCTGTCTGGTCCCACATCTGTACCCTAATGGTTTTGCCTGTTGCTGGGTGGGGGTGGGGTCTCCACGTGGGTGCGGCCATCATCCTGGGCTGAGCTGGTTGGTATAAGACACTGAGGGCCCAAGGAAGAGACAATTCAGGAGGGCTTCCTGGACAAGGAGGCTTTGCACTGGCAGAAGGAGAGGGAGGACTCTATCCAGACCAGAGATGATGGGTCATCCTCTCGGCCTCCTGTGGGGCTGGAGGGAGAAAGAAAGTGTGTGTGGGGGAAGGCCAGGCCCCTGCAGGGCGGGGTGCCCAGAAGAGTGAGGACCCACGGACCATGGAGAGCCTGACAGGGAAGCCTCAGCGAGGCCACGGGCCGGGCAGGGTGTTGGGAGTGGCACCGGTCACCCATGCACTCCCCTCACTCCAGCCAGGGGCGTGGCCTCCATCCCGGGGTGCTGGGAGGTCAGGCCCTGTCCTGGGGCCATGTCTTGGGTGGGGCTGTGGGCAGGTGGCCACTTTCGAGGGACTGAGTGCTGGAGGCTCCTTGGAGGCCCTCTCCCGGGGTGTCACTGTCCCCGTAGCAGCCTCTTCATCGTGGGGGGTGGGGGGCGGGGCTGCCACGTCTGCACAGTGGTGTGACCCCCGGCAGGTCCCCGCCTTTCCCGGGCCTCAGTTCCCTCTTCTGCCCAGGGAGGCAGTAGAGGTGCTCACCTCCCAGGGCTCTGGGAGCTGCAGGGCGTGTGTGCACGGTGCTGGCCGGCCTGGGCCCTGGGGGGCTGGGTGGCTTGGGGTCACTCAGGGGGCAGCAGGGGGTAAAAGCCTCCACCGGCAGAGCAGGGGTTTGTCTTTGGACTCGGTGTCGGTGCCGGTGCTTGGGGGGGGGGGTCAGTCTGGGGGCGTTCCAGACCGGCTCCCTGCTCTGTTCCCTGTGCAGGTGCTGGCCTGCAGCAGGGGCTCCCCCGCTGTGGTAGGGGAGGGACTGCATGGACGGGTGACTGCAGGGCAGGACAGGTGCTCCAGGGGACCCAGAGCCGTGGCCCATCCTGCCCGTGTCTCTTCCAGGTCAGGGCTCTGGGAGGCTGCTCAGCTTCAGTGCTGCATCGGTCGGTTTCTGAACGTGGGGTTTGCAATCTCCAAACTACAGACGCCAGCAGCGGCCAAGGGCAACAGCTCCTCCCCGCTCCCCTGGCCCAGCTCGGGGTGCACTCCGGTGAGCCAGAAAGAGGCGGATGGGGTATCTTAGCTTCAGAGTTGAAGAACTGAGGCTATGGAAAGCCTATGGCCTTCCCGGTCTCAGAGGTGAGAGTCTGGAAGTGACAAGGCCTGTGGGGCCTCGTGCGCATGCGGGACAGATGCTCCTGCCCCGTGGAGATGCCCGAGTGCAGCCCGGGGGTGGCCTGAGTGCCTGGGGTTCTCCTGTGAGTAGAGAGGCCAGTGGGCAGGGGCTGAGGTCTCTAGCAAAAAGCTCTTGGTACGCCCCCCTCCCCGCACACTCCTTGTGGTGGCCCGATGATGGGCTATAAACTGACAAACAGGTGTGACCTACCACACGTGTCACTGAAGGCCAGGGCCGAGGGGGGACCCGCTGGATTTGGTGGCTCCGGGCATGT